CAATGCGCGTAAATGGACTATACAAATTAGGTCAATACGGCATAATTACAAAGCGTTATTAAACTATGCGATACAAAATATGACTACGGAACTATGCAATATTGAATGGCATTATTCATGCAAATCTGTATCTATTACACTTTTACATTTTAAGATCTGATGGAAGCAGCAAGCGTCCCTAACAATACGAGGATGTATATAAAAACATTAATGATCTAGAAGCGGGCTTCGAAAAAAAAAACATTTCAATGTGGCTCTAATTAAATAAAGATCATTACTTGTAGTATAATAAACATGAAGTCGCCCTATTAAAAAGTTATATTTCGTTGGTCATCAAAGATCAAAGTTTATATCAACTACGCGAGTCGAACTGACAATAATAAAATGTAAGACATGTCCGGGTTACTTCTGACTCTTCCGCTTGTCGGATACGGAACGTACGGTAATCGTAAACTGCGGCTATTATACATACGAAATGTAAACAGACGGTGTTCAGTGTTGCCATATGACTTTGGAAAAAATTTCTTCTAAAATAAAGTTCTAGATTTCTCATTCACCAAATTTCCATATCAAGAAAAATCATATATTATTGAAAGATAATTAAAGGCATACTGTACTGAGTATTACGTCTGTTCCTCCACAAACTGCTCGTGCGCGACAGCGCAACGTAGAATTGATGGCCGGCATTGCGCAAACATGTGCGCGAAGAGAATCAATTTTCATTACATTGCACCAACTGTGCACAGCAAGAGCTTAAAAAAAGTGAAAATGCGTTGGAAAATTCACCAAAAACATACATCATCCTGAGTGTGGGCTATCATGCTATGTATTTTTTTTTGCAAAGTAGGTATTTGCAGGGTATGTTTATTGCTGACTGATTTGATAATTAATTTGTATTTATTATTATATACATGAAAAATATACTTCTAAGACTTAGGTATATGAGGCATATGTCAAAACTGCCTGCAGAGCAATACAAAATGTTCAATGAAAATGGTAAACCAACAGATTTGTTCTTTACTATGTGCACATTGTGCAGTACTGCAGTAGGCAACTAGGCATTTTGATTTTGTGCTGCTCTTAAATGTTTTAACTGACAGCCTAATTTGGTCAACTCATGTTTGGAAACAAATGGCAAAATCCCAATTTATTATAACATAATCTTAGTTGTCAAAAAATTTCCCTTGTTTACATGCTTAACTGCATTTGTTAGTGCTGCTAGTCTGCTACAATTGTACCAGGGTGCAGAAAGTGGGTGTCAGTGTCACTGGGTGTCACCATGTCTGGGCCTGGGTGAATATCTGTAAGTCTTTGGCATTGCATTAGCAGCAAAATTTATGCCTTCAGAAGAGCTTGCTGACACATTTGAATTAAAATGATTGCATTTTGAATATTTATAAATCTTTGACGATGCTAAGCACAGAACAGAAGGTGCACATACATTAAGGGGACCGTCTACCCTCCCTAAATCTTCTACAGTTCTTATCCGATCATTGTCAAACTTCACATACACATGTAAAATGTAAATAAAATACTTAAAAATACTTTTTAAAAAAACACGTTTTTCTTGTGGACTAAAAAGTAGAAAATAAATTATGGCTCGCCCCAAAAACGTGTGTCGGGCAGATTTATGATTAAAGCGAAAAGCACACAACACACGAATTTTGGAAATTTGATGGTGAACGTACAGCCCGACACACGTTTTTTGGGGCGAGCCACAATTTATTTTCTATTTTTTAGTCCACGAGAAAAACGTGTCATACTATATATATATATAGTATATATATATATACTTTACTCAATTAAGCTAATTTAGGTCTCTAATTGCTAGTTTTTATGATTGTATCTGAAATTGTTAGGCGAAAATAGCCTGCATGCCGAATTTCAGATCTCTAGAGCAATCAGAAGTGGGCTAATTTTTGTTGTCAATGTTAACAACAAACAAACAAACAACCAAACAAACAAACAAATGCGAAGCTAAGCTAAGAAAAACATGTTAAAAACGTTTTAAAAAGTAACATTTTGCTCATATGAATTTTTTTAAAAAATTGATAGAAAACATGATATTCATAGAAAACGGCCAAAAACGGGTACTATAGAAAATCTATCTCCTCCTACAAATATCGTCCTACAACATCGAGACACATATCATTCAATTTGTAAAGACCATACCTATCAACTCTACCATCCCTTTTTTTCATTTTCCCCATAGTTTTTTTATGCGCATTTTTCCCATTTTTCCACTTTTTCCCTGCCCTCCCCACCTTCTCCCCCATATATAAGATGAAGTGATGAACCATGCACAAATTGAAAAAAAAGGATGGCTAGATCGATAGGTATGGTCTCTACAAATCGAATGATTTATGATATGTCTCTCATTGCTGTAGCTTGAAAACTGTAGGATGAGATAGGTTTTCAAAAAGACAAAAAAAAAATTTAAATTGTTCAGGGGAGCCAAATCAAGTAAAATTCTTTGAAAACAGAAGAATATGCCCCAAAAGTCTTGATATCGTAGCCCAACCTTTCCTACATCTATACAGACTAATTTCAAATAAATTGTAAAGGTTTCCCCAAAGTTTCACGAAAATGAGATGATTCGATAATGATGATTCGTCGGCAAACTCAAACGGTACGTTGGCTAAATACGGGTATGGTTGGACGTCGGCGTAGCTGGGTACGTCGTCCTTTGTGAATGGCCAGGAAGACGGGTCTCGAGTTAAAAGAGAAGGCACTTCTGTTTTCTTCGTTCTGTTTAAATCTTCGACGTAGAGATTCGTGATTAGATTGCTTTTCATTGTAGTTTTGTCTTTCATTGTCGTTAGAGTAACGTCTCTAGGATGCAGCTTCATATTGAGCGCTTTAGCAAGGTCCTCCCGCAGCCAGCAATCCGAAGAATGAGGGTCGAGAGCAACGTTGATTAGAATTTCTTTGTTTGAAGTTCTGGACGAAATTCTCGCGGCGACTATAGGACAGCTCACGGCTCTCTGCACAAGCTTGCCGGTCTTGCAAGCAGAACTCGCCCTAAGGTTTGAGCGAGAGTCCGACGTGCAGGGACTTGCATTCTGTCCGGGTCCGTTTTCGTTTTTTTCTGCTAGGGTTTTCTTCGGAGGTTGCATCGACGAGCTGGTATCATTATGTAGAATGGTTGGATGACGTTTATGACAGGTTGCACATGACAACGGTTTTTTGCAAGATTTGGACATGTGTCCCTTAGACAAACAAGCAAAACACAGCCCTGCTGCCCTAACAAACGCTGATTTTTCAGAGAAGCTTTTCCCTTTAAAGAAGATACAATAAGAAAGGTCGTGATTGTCCTTTTTGCATAGTTCGCAAAATTTGACCCTATCACTGGAGGAGGTCTCGACGGCTGCCGTGACACGAGTCTTTGATTTCACGGTGGTTTCAGGCTTGTTTTTCCGTCTTGTTGCATCCACGATGGTTCCAAAGAGCGGTTGGCGAACGAGACTGGCTTCGTTCTGAACAAAGATAACGAGATCACTGAACTTTACGTTGCGTTGCGCGTTTTTTGAAATGTCAAGAGTTTGAATTCTCCATCGTTCTCTTGCCTTANCTGACGACCACTCCTATTACGGCATTAAGGGATGGAATCAAATGTGCACGAGAAGCCTCAACATAAATCTTTGCACATATTGTTAATAAATGTTAATTTTATATATTTTTAAAATTGTCTTGTGCGAAAACTATAGCACGCACAGACATGCGGTAAACTGCGTTAGATGCGCTTTTTCAGCAGCTACAAAATGAGTCAAGAAAATGGAAAAGCCAAAATATCTGATTTTTAGGATAGACGGTCCCCTTAATGGCTGCACCATTTTAAAAATTTCCAGTTTCTGTTTGGCTGGATGAGGCTGCAAAGTACAATCCACAATTTGATAATTTGGTTTGCAATGCAATTTTCTACTGCAATGGCTGGGGTGTTGAAGTCTTGAAGATACTCTTCAAAGTTGGTTTTGTAAGAAAATTATGTTTGTAGCTCATCTTAAAGACTGCCAGGGAAGCATCTTGAAGATGCTGGCAATGCATCTTAAAGACTGCTTATTTTTTTTAATTATTTAATAACTATGCATATACATCTTCAACAACATGCTACTCCACAAATTATGACTATAAAATGGATGAAAATGTATTTGTGTAACATTTAAAATCACTATGATCGATAAATGTATGTATAGTAAATTAGTAATTACTTTTAATCTATGTATTGGATCAAACTAGTGATACAGTGCAACATGCAGCTGCATAAATAATTTTTGTTGTAACTCTGAGGTACACAGCAACTTCTTGCAGGGCCCTGAAATTCAGAAAGTATGTTTAAAAAACTATTATGTTATTAGTCAACTTTGTTTTGTTGAAAATTTAAATAAGATATACCATCAACCGGGGCTACTCGGGACAGATTTGAACGATTAGTTTTAAATAACAGTTAATAACTTCTTACGATGAAACATTTCATAAACAAGTTTAGTCTCANGATATTCCAATTAGTTTTGCTACTACAACAGTTTTACGCCGTGTCATAGGCCTGTCCCGAGTAGCCCCGGTTGACGGTATATATTTTTTAAGCAATTTCTGGCTATATTTTTCTAATGCTGCCAAGCAAGTAAAAAATAAAAACTTCTCAGTAAAGAAATTGTCATGGTTATAATGAAGTTTCCTTTTATGTTTCTAGACTTTAGATGATCAAATTAAGCATGAGTCAGGCATGGAAATGAGTAAAGCAGGCTGCTCACACAGATAAAGTATGCCGATCTGCCATTTTGATGCTTCTCTGTGTTCTGCATATTTTTTTTGCTTTTTGCACATGTCTACTTTAAGAAATGTAAAAGGTAAAAAATTAATTTATTATACTAATTATTATTGATAATTACCTAATATTGCATTATTCATCATACTTAAGAAAAATAGGACATTAAAAAGTGCCACAATTATCAATTGATGCCAATTCTTATTTGTTCTAAAGCTTAATTATTTGTTGAGCTTTGAATTATCAGTGTTTCTCTTGTCCACAGTTACAGACATGGCGGTTGTAAAAGAATTGGAGGAGAAAACGCCTGTTGCATCAGATAGTGAGGTTGTTGTAGGTCAGCCCATAGATTCAGATGATGAAATGAGTTCTGACGATGAAAATGACTATGACAGTGATTCAAGTGAAGAAGGTAGTGATGTTGATGAGGAAGATTCAGATGAGGAACTGTATGAAGATGAAGAAGAATCTGAAGATGATGATGGAAAAAATCAAACTAATGAATTGGAAGATTCAGATGAAGATGATGGCTCTGATGCTGAAATGGACAAATCACAAGAAACATTAGACAATGATGATTTTTCTGAAGAATCAGGCAGTGAAAACGACTCTGTTGTTGACCATTTACCTAAAAAGAAGCGTTTTAAACCAGCTTCTGAAGCTGAACAAACTTTTAATGATGAGGATGAAGAAGTATCCTTCAATGATGAGAATGTCTTAGAAGAAGAAGATGAAGTAAGTCAAAAATATTTTTCTTTCTTGAATTCTTACCATTATAATGTGCTAGGAATTTATTATTTATTTTTTGCTAATGGACTGGGTAAGATCTTTCCTGTTTAAAAATTTAGGTGTCCAGTTACCTTACTATTTTCTATAGTATTAATTTTTAATCCATGAGTTTTCATTCATTTCACTGAGCACTGTCCAATGTTTACACTTTTTCAGGTCATTGATGCATTATGTGCGGGAAAACTGAAGTATGGCAAAACATATGAGGAAGATCATAATATCAAGAAGGAATATATTAATCGAGAGGTAAGTAAAGAGTTTCTCCTCCATCTGTGCCTCTTTTTCTTGTGTTTACTATCTTCTTAATACTAATTTTATACATCTAGCCTAAAGAATACTCTCAAATTTTCAATCATAAATTTGGCTTCTATTGAACTGAGAACATAAACTTCTCATTTTAAATAAATTTGATAACTTTGTGTGTTTATGAGTGTTGCTGTTAGTTTCATGATGTTATTTGATATATGCTCAAGCCATCATCTTCATCTGAGTCTTTCAATTCATTAGTTTGATTTTCTCCATCTTATCTTAAGTACACTTCCTTTTTTACTGTTGTCAAGTTTAAAAGTTGATAGGAATATATGCGGTTATTCTACTGATTGTTAATGTTGATCCCTAACCCATAATATATGTATGTGTTATATTTTACAGGAAGAAATGAGACAGAAATATAAAATATTACATTACAATGGAGACTGGCTGCAACGCCTTGACATTACCTGCAATGCAGCTCCTATGGCTCCAGAAATGCAGCATGCAATTGAGGCTGACAAGAAGATACAAGCAAAGAAGTTACCACCCCTCAAAAACCCTTTCAAAGATATGAGTGTTCTCAAGGATGATTTTGAGTGAGTTCTTGAACTCAATATGCTCACATTAAGAAGAAAAATTGTGTACCATGTAATGTTGTTTGCTATCTTTGAATTATGCAGAAATAACATCAGTAGGTATATACTATGTATTTACATGATGTAACAAATTTGTAATAATTATATTATTTCTAGCATTTATTATTTTGCTTGCAGAGGTTTTGCCTATGGTATACCTAGTTAATGTTTTAGGCTTTGCAAATTTATGATTCATGTATGACAATTTTAACACTATATTGATTGTTATTTGAAAAATTCATTTTCTGGTATGTTCTAAAAATCATAGTTATACCAATTTCTGAAGCTTACTTGATATCTAAACACAGTATTAATTAAGTGTACACTGCAGTGATGTAATGACATTATTTTTGCTTCAGACGAGAGATGTTGTTCCAACGACATGCACAAGCTGCAGTGCTTGTAGGCATCCCAAAGCTGCAAGACCTCAATGAGTACACTCGCCGTAATGAAGAGTTTTATGCCGAGATGGTTAAATCTGACAAACAGATGCATAAGGTAATAATTTCTAACAAACCCATTGCAATTTGACTGCTTAAAATAATATGCATTTAAAAATCACTTCTTAAAAACAACCGTTCTAAAGAATACAGTGTCTCTGATATTACACATCTACAATGAATTTCTAATTTTATTTCCATACATTGAAAAAAATTCATTTTTAAATTTTTTTTAATAGATGAAAATTTTTTAAATTTTCAAAATTATTTATTGTGTTGATTGATTCATGCCTTGTCTCCAATTTTATGCAAGTGTGCAAAATTTCAGATTGATTGGACAGGTAGAAGTGTATTAAACATCAGTTATATGGTTTGTAGCAGAAAGACAAACAAACAAACAAGAAGTGAAGTTAAATAGAAGTGTTGTGATAACCTAGAACTTGAGCTGTAATCAGTTTTGCAATGGTTAGAATGTTATTGCTTACTATTTTTTTATATTTCATTAATTTAGAATTTTGCATGCCTTCATGTACAAAAGAAATTGCAAAATATAATCATTTTAACTTTACAAGCTGATGTTACAGTAGTCTTGTGTTGTTTATCATGAAGTAATGAATGTGTTCTCAAGACTGAATTTTCCGCAAATGAAATATAAAATTTCTATTAACAATCTGGTGTTAACTTGATGAAATTGTAATTTAATTTCTATTTTCAATTGCATGTATATTAACATGTATCTACAACTATATGAAATCCTTGCTTGTGTTAATATTTGCCGAGCCGAAATAATTCTTGCATCTCAAGTTTTAATTCAGTCTCTCTACGAGCATATTTGTTCATTATATTAATTCTTTCCTAATTTCCAGGTGCGGAAGAATTTGAGGAAGAAGCTCCTAGATCGTCAGGCAAGTGAACACGCCCGGAAGCTCCGTAAAATGCGCAAGTTTGGAAAGAAAGTGCAAGCAGAAGTTATTCTAACTAAAGCACAGAAGAAGAAGGAACTTATGACCAAACTCAAGGAATACAGACAGGTTTGTGTTTCTGAAGCATTGTTATTAAGACAAAATATTATTAGCAAATAAACGTTCTTAAACATAGTTAATTGATTTACTAATTTTTTCTGTTCTGCACAAATGAAACATTTAAACTTAATTTCTATCTCTTAGAGGTGCATGATATCCTCAGTTACACTAGTGACACCTGTATTCCCATGAATAGCTTACTTACTGCACTGCCCACTAGATCGACCATCACTTAGGGCAGCAAGAGGACAGTTTACTGTATCATTATTTATGTACCCCTAGGGACAAAGGGAAGATTTGGATTTCCTTGACGGTCCGGGGCGTAGCAACAACGACGATGACGACGTAGCTCCGTACGTCCGCCAGAAGCGCGGTGCTTCAGCAGGCAGAAGGTCAGTTCTGATCCTTTATCTTCAAAAATCATGGCGGTGTGGTATAAATATATTCATGTGATAATGATAGTACTCATTACGCTTCTCCATATTTTTAAGTTTCTTCCATGCCAATTAGAAATTATAAACACATGTTCCTTGATAGGAGTATTGATTTCTGGGTAATTTATCATCTACTGATGATGCTTCATCATTTCTGAACTAGATATCTTTGCAACACCTTGCAGTTTGATTTTACTTACCTGGTTCATCATATTTACTTGAAATGTATTTCAGATGGATTTATATATATATGATTTGCAAATTTTTGTATTTTAATTTGTATCCTGATTTTATTGTTTGAGTATGCAATTTAACATTCTTTACACGTGAGTTATTGAAATCCGTTTAAACTTTAAAGCAAGACATGTAAGAGAGATGTTATATTTCCTAATACATATATTTAATACATGCCAGAACTTCTATGATTTTCATGTGCCGTTGCAGAGGTGGAAGGGGCGGTAGCATGAGAAGAGGTAAAAGTGGCAGGGGAGGCAGCCAGCAGCCGCGCGTGCGCGCTGTACTCGTGAGTGATGGACGCAGCAGACACGGCCGTGGACGTGGTGGCCGTGGAGGTCGTGGCGGCCGTGGAGGTCGTGGCGGCCGCCCCGGACCTAACGCGAGGAAGCAGATGCGCGGTGGCAACCGGGACTATGTTAAAGCTCGCAGAGGTTTTACTCGTTAAATAAAATTGTTAATATACCAGTATTTTGTTTTTTATATTTTTCATTATTTTTAAACGTATATGTAGAATTTTTTGCAAACTGGATTATCTACAAAAACAGCGTTATCACTGAATGTTTTTTTTTTTTTCAAGTATCTAGTAAGCTCGGGAATGTATAACGGTAATGGATAATACTAATAAATTCCCAGTATTTCCGTTAGCAAGTAATCTATAGAAGAAAACCTTTTATTTAAAAAAGGAAATGAAATTTTTTAATTGCGATTCTAGCCTATTCGAGAAAAGTAAGTTAGTTAAGTTTTAGGACACATCTTGCATAATTGATATTTAGAAAGTTTTAATTTAGTACACTATGCTAATTTTGCTTGGTAGATAAGTTGCGGAATCTGTCGCAACGCGTATGAGTATGCGTTCTAGGGTTTTACTCTACTGTGTTCCAAGAGGAAACTGTTCTTCATTGCCTCGGGGATCGGAGACAGTCGGAGTAAGAACTTAGATGGAAGTTCCATGGCTGAATAGCAAAGAAGTTGTGGCAAGTTCAACAACGCTTACCGTAACTTTCGAATCGGACTTCACATATTGAAAAATTGGCAACTCGTTAACTGTGACCAAATAGAGACTAGCTAGGAGTAAAAGTGATGGCATGAGCTGTTCCTGATGAGCCAACTGCAGAAAGCCAGAAACGATGTTTAGGTATTGGACAATAGCTAGGCTAACATGATTTTAATTCCTACTTGAGCCTTGATTATGAATGATCAAATTGATGCGCTGCAGAGTGCAGCCTCTCCCTCTGTCCCTGCCTCAGATCCTCAAGCCGAAGCCGGTACTTCTATCTAATAGTAATAATCAACATAGTGGCAAAGCAGAGAGTTTTTTAGACTCTCCCTCAAGTTCATTTTTGAGTCCTATGAGTAGACCAGTAAAGTATCCTGGATACCAGCATTATCATACTTAAGAAATTGGTTTAAATCTTGAGTAAATGAGGAAATTAAAAATGAACTGATTCTAAAAAAGCTCTGGTTTGCCACTATGATAATCAATGGCACTTTATTCAATGGGACTCAATGGCTCGTGGGATGATGGAAGCGCTGCCCGGCATGGTGACAAACCAGATATTTTTTAGAATCAGTTCATTTTTAACTTCTTCATTTACCTAAGATTTAAACCAATTTTTTATGTATGATAAGGCTGGTATCCATGATACTTTACTGGTGCACTTATGGGACTCAAAAATGAACTTGAGCCTTTGAGGGAGAATCTAAAAAACTCTCTGCTTTGCTACTATGCGCGGCTGCTGTGGCGGGTAGCCCAAAAATTTGACTCTTAAATCAGCCCAAGTCCCAAGAGCCAATGCCAACCCTTTACATGTAATAGCATAGTGACAAAGCAGAGAGTTTTTTAGACTCTTCCTCAAGTTCATTTTTGAGTCCTACAAGTAGACCAGTAAAGTATCATGGATACCAGGCTTTTACCAGCTTTATCATACATAAGAAATTGGTTTAAATCTTGAGTAAATGAGGAAATTAAAAATGAACTAATTCTAAAAAATCTCTGGTTTGCCACTATGTGTAATAGAAATACCTAGTCAGCTTAACACAAATAACACCTGTCACCTAGTCACCTACTATGCAGCTCATAGTGATAGTGACAAACCAGATATTTTAAAGAATCCGTTCATTTTTAATTTCTTCATTTACTCAAGATTTAAACCACTTTCTTATGTATGATAATGCTGGCAGGTATCCAGGATACTTTGCTGGTCTACTTATAGGACTAAAAAACAAACTTGAGGGAGAGTCTAAAAAACTCACTGCTTTACCAGTTACCACTATGATGCAGCTGTTCTTACTTGCCTGGCACCTCATCTTGCCACCATGGTCAGGAAGATGTGCCAGGTGCGCGGGAATTTATTTTGTCATTTTAACGACCTGCGCGGTGCGCCGTACTATGCTGGTAAAAAAATGCGCCGTGCGCCGTACTTTAGAAAGCTAAAATAGTTCTATTTTAGTCAACAATATATGCGAGTATATTGACTACGCGAGTCGAACTGACAATAATAAAATGTAAGACATGTCTGGGTTACTTCTGACCCACTATGCAGAGGGTGGATGCAGCGTCGCCAATATATGGATTTTTAAGCCCAAAGCATTGCCGGCCATTTTAAAGATGCGTTGCCGGGTAATGAAAAGCCATTTACGCTGAGTAATGACAAACTATTTACAAGCCACAAACTTATTACAAGGTTGCATGCACGTGTTATACCAAATAACTAATTTTACCCTAAAAACAGTCCGATTGTACAGCAAGTGTCAACTGAACAAGTAATAAAGCAGTCTGACCGCTCTAATGCGACTGAAACTACGCAATCGAAAAAACGTTGTTTACATTTTTTGTGGGAACTCATCGCAACTGATTTCTGGACAAGCTTCGCTGCATCGTAATCCATCCAACGTACCGGAAACCATAGTGACAAAGCAGAGAGTTTTTTAGACTCTCCCTCAAGTTCACTTTTGAGTCCTATAAGTAGACCAGTAAAGTATCATGGATACCAGCATTATCATACTTGAGAAATTGGTTTAAATCTTGAGTAAATGAGGAAATTAAAAATGAACTGATTCTAAAAAAGCTCTGGTTTGCCACTATGCCGGAAACCTTACTTTTTTTCTAAATAGTTGGCTGAAGACTGAGAAATATATTAAATGCAAGAATTTCAATCTAAATGTGTCGGCAAGATCTTCTGAAGGCGAAAATTTTGCCGAAAATGCGTCGCCGTAGGTCTTTAAATCTTCGTTCACTCTCTGCACAGTGGCTTCTGACTCTTCCGCAGTCCGCTTGTCAGATACGGAACGTACGGTAATCGTAAACTGCAGCTATTGTACATACGAAATGTAAACAGACGGTGTTCAGTGTTGCCATATGACTTTGGAGAAAATTTCTTCTAAAATAAAGTTCTAGATTTCTCATTCACCAAATTTCTGTATCAAGAAATATCATATATTATTGGAAGATAATTAAAGCCTAAAGGCATACTGTACTGAGTAATGTGAGTATTACGTCTGTTCCTCCACAAACTGCTTGTGCGCGGCAGCGCGACGTAGAATTGATGGCCGGGATTGCGCGAAGAGAATCAATTTTCATTACATTGCACCAACTGTGCACAGCAATAGCTTAAAAAAAGTGAAAATGCGCGGGAAAATTCACCGAAAACATACATCATCCTGAGTGTGGTCTTGCCACACCAGCCTGAAACTATCAGCCCACAAGCTGATAGCCTGATACTGAGATACTCCAAACGGATTACGTCCAATAGCTTCTACACCAATGATTTAAGCCCATACCATCACAGTATCGCTTCTTACAAATGCCGTAAGCCACAGGGACGTGTAGACCGCACCTGGCTGCTGTAAATGGGAATGGCCCTGCACCAGAATGTTGCATCACCTTACCCACTTTGGAGGCTTAAGCCCAGCCCTGACATTCACCAGCATCTTCTTCCTCCACACTATGCACTTGCTTTGCAAGTGCAAACTATTGGAAAGAATAGTTTGCACTTGCAAACTATTCTTTCCAATCAAGATATGCTTGAAACATGAGAAAGAATGTGAAACTGGGATAGAATGTGAAAATTCTTCTGCAAATTGGTACCAAAAGGAGGGGGAGCAGGAGTAACTAAGAGTTGAGGTTTAGCCTCCAGAAGACTTGACAGGCAGGGGCATAGCCTCCAGAAGAATGGACTGCTAGGGGAATAGCCTTTAGAAGAACGGACAGGCTGGAGAGGTAGCAGTGTACTGATAGCTCTGTGGTGCTGGTGCAGGGCATTCTTTATCAAAAGTGGTGAAATGGCTAGGCTGCATGGAATAGAAATATTTTGTGGTTTTGCGTGTGGGTTACGACCATTGTTTTGGCAGCTTGCTGCTCATTGCCAGTCTTTGGCTCACTGGTTTACATGAATTACATCCATGAAGAGATTTAGTCCCTGTGGCTTTCAGCAAGTAATCATCTTGGCTAATTTGTTCTGCAGCATGGGGTGAAGTATGTAATTTGCTCACGGGGTGAAGTATGAAAATTATGCTGGTATTGGGTAATGCTGCGCTATTTCAGTCATCCCATAATCAATGACTAGCTAGAGGGGCTAGAGGCTAGAGCCAGGAACCCATAGCAAAATAAATTATTTTGCTGTGGTTCTAGTTTCTACCGTTTTGGCAGTTGTCTCTGGGCTTCATTAGGAACAGTCTATTTTATGAACAAAACTGAACCACATCTTTTATGTGTGATCTAAACAGCTTTCAGTAAATGAATTTGTACCTACTCATTGTAGTCATCATCATGTGATTATTGAACTATATAAATAAACAAATTGTAGTTCTGACCAGTATTATACAGGTTTTAGTGATGTGGCAACTTGCTCTTGCAGCATCTTGCCATTTAAGTTGCAGAATCTAAAACTTTCAGAAATAAACACCATTTTCGTTGCTGCTGGCAAGTTGAATGATACATTGTATATATTTCTGCTGCCTGCTGAGTGATGACTCAGGTGCCCATGTGGCCTTGACTGTGGTCTCTGGATAGTTTGATAGCATCATTACTCATGTGAGTCATGTCACACTCACACCCAAAACCTACTGGCTGATTATACCGTCAACCGGGGCTACTCGGGACTGTCGGGGTAACTCGGGACAGTCCTCCAACACGGCATAAAACTGTTTTAGTAGCAAAACTAATTGGAATATTGCAAAACTAAATATAGTGGCGTAAATGTCAACATTTTTCCTATCTATGTAGTATAAAGGAAGTTCAAAAATACTACATCTACTAGTTTTGAAAAATTCCTGAAAGATATGGTGAAAAACAATATTTTGAAAAGTTACTTAGTAAAAAAAATGTTTGTCGTATTAAAAAATTTTGCCTACAAAAAAGTGCCAGACAAGTGTCAGCATGAAAACTTTATTTGCGGAATTTACATAACTCACTAAAAAAAATGGTGGCCATCTCCACACAGCGGGGCTACTCGGGACACCCCCCCCCCCCCCCCGGGGCATACGCATTTACAGTAGAACCTCAGCAAAAACTCCAGTTGAGAAAAAATGTGTTAAAAACAAAGAATATTGATTACATTTACCTGGCTTAGCGAAAAAAAATGCGCTTATCAAAAAATTAGTGCATCATCGGTCATCACAAAATTGTGCATAGAATGTCATATATAGAATTGTGCACCAGGCATCATAGAATGAAAAGTAGTAATTGACCTAAACTATGATTTATTTCTCTAAATCATAAGATGGTTGTTGCTAAAACATTCCTTTCTGTTTCAGGTATGTTTCTCATGATCTTTTTTTACAGTAAATTCACTTAACCCAATTAAAATGGTGTGAAATTACAAGCTGTCCTGTAAGCTTACAGATACAGAAAAAAGGCTATAAGGCTGCTGATATGAAGCTTGCAGTGGACAAGGTAGTTGAAATGCTCAATGGCCTGTTCATGTATAAAGTAATATCACATCAATAATATGGTAATTAATGTATATGGTAATTAATGTAGGTATGTGGTAATATCATATTGATATAGGAAAAATAAGTAAAAATAAAAGAAAATGTCATTTATTCTACCTTTACATCATCTACAATGAAAGAGGACTTCAGAGTACTGTTAGTAATGGATGAGTACACAGTTAATGCTTCAAATGTTTTAAAATTGAGTTTTATTCCAAGTGTCCCAAGTAGCCCCTTTTGACGGGGCTACTCGGGACACTCTTTTTTTTGCTCCTGGCACCTTACAAATAGCATATAGAATTTTTTTGGAGAAGCCATGTGATAGCCCTTGCAAATAGCTTTGAAATGAGCCTAAACTTGTTTATGAAATGTTTCATGGTAAGCAGTTGTGAATGAAAAACGTTCAAAATTGTCCCGAGTAGCCCCAGTTGACGGTATGTCTGCTGATAGACTATTTCATATCAGTGGTCAATTAATTAGTGTAACCCATTTTTATGAGTGGTTACGAGAAAAACCTGCTCAAACTTCAGATATATAGCTGATTAAACAAAATTGGAAAAGCCCAACTTTTTAATGCAAAAAAAATGTTCTGAAGTCACATATATCTCATAATTTTTTTGAAGTATCTGACAACCAATTGTGATTACCATAGCATCAAACCAAAGTAGATAATATATAAATAATAATTCTAGCAGGAACCTTAAAATTCCAAAAGTGGTTAACAAGCACAGGCTGCTCATTTTTGTCTTGGAAAGTTTATAGTTTTCATATCTTTTATGTAGGGTTTTAATGGATATGAAATTGGTTGAGACATAAAATATACATTTTTGTATAATTTTTCAGAAAATTGTATTGTAAGAAATGTTATTTATTTATTGGCAAGATTTGCGGGTCTTTGGTTGTCATGTTGCTGCTCTAACTCTGAGGTCATCTTCTAAAAGGTCAGTTTGTTGCACTTAAAATTTTGTCCATCTTAACACTATAATTTAGACTGTATAATCATAAATATGACTATCATAATTAAATATTAACAATAACTGAACATACCAGTATTTCATTCAATGGAGCAAAAAGTTGCCAACTCCTTAGCACTTAGGTACTGAATTAACTATTTAAGTGAATTCAATTGTTTTATTTTTACCCTAACTGATTCCTATTTTCTAACATTGCACTTTCATAAAAAGATTATCTACTTTGTAATTCTGTGTTTCTTCTAGGATCATTTCCTAATATTTTATTTACAGTGAATAAAGACAGTATTTGTTATACATTCATAAGTGGAAGTACTTTTTCATTGCCTGGCTCTAAACAGGTCATTCTTGCAGTGACAAGCTCCTGTTGTTGAGCTGATTTCAATTTAGAATGTAACATATATTTTTTCTCCAATTAGGCCCTTTCTTGTTTATTGCTTTCATGTGCAACAATTATTGATAGTTGATTATGTTGATACCATTAGGAGTGGGTTTTTATTACCTGAAGTTGGTGTTTTCTAAACTTGTTCACAGAATTCCCTCAAAAATGTATCATTAATGAGATCAATTCATCTAATCTGCATGCAACTATTTTTTCCAAAAAATATTAATCAATTTTTGTTTTGTTTATTGATTATAGCTTTATTGTTGATACAGCATTGAAAAATCTCGTTTAATTTTGCTTCTATATTTCATGAGACCCTTTGGCCACATGAGTCTCTTTGAACCAAGTATTTTTTAGCACAATGGTTTCAGCTATGCCATATTTGCTGCATTTTTACAGATTCATATTCTTCTAAATGGCACCAAAATCTCAACTGATAATAAATTATGATTCTTTGCCAAATTTTCCAGGGCTGGCTTGCTGTCATGTACCAGGGCTTCTGTGGAAGAGAGACATGTGTACCAGAAGTGTGGTGAGCCAGACGAAGCAGCTTCACGGTTCCAAGTGGCTGAAAAGAAGGAGATAAGTCCATCAGATCCTCCAATAAAACAGTTGGAGCAGTCCTATGAGTCTGGTGAGTGTGAAACTTGACAGTACTTCTAATTTTGTGCACAGTTTAAGATTTAACAGAAGGTGCACTATAACTTACTTTTCCTTTTTTCTTCTGCTTGAATTGCAGAAAAAATTGGCAATGGTGTTTAACATCCAAAAAAAAAAGATCTTGTATTATCTGGCTGTTATTCTCAGTTGTATCTTAAATTTTGTTGACAGGTTCAGTTCACTGCTGTTCCTCTTTTTGTCGCTTTGTATGTGAAGGCAGTATATACCTACTGTACTGTGCAAGCATTGTTTTGTATATAGTTCATTGTCTCTGTAAACTACTAAATTACCCAAACTCACTGGCCATTGGCCCGTGAGTTAGTTATTATAAATTTGTAATAACTAATAGATAAGCTTATTTTGTTTCATCAGAATTCAGTGTGTTCCCTTGGTTGAACATCAAGGCCAGCTTATTGCAAGCTGGTGACAGGCAACTGTGCCTGCCGGGGGATGTTGGTATCTCCCCTTATCTTATGCAGGTAGTTCTTGCTTTATTCCTGGCACACAATTAGATTATGTGTCATTTTTCAATTCATTACTGAAATTTAAGATGGTGTTGTAAAATCTGGAACTTTTTCAGGAATGAAGAAAATTTTAATCATCTTTAGCCTACAACTTCTAAATTTAGTTGCAATTAATTTCTAGATTATGCATAGTTTCTTTAGTTTAGGGTTCAATTTTTCTAGTATATTATATATAGCTTGGTGAAAATGATATATGAAATTTGCCACAAACCATGACCATTATCGGAAAGTTATCTTTAGAATGTTATAATTTTGCTTTTTGTAGTTTATTTGTGTGTTAAAAAGCTGCATGCATGTTTCCAGGGTGTGATGCTGTCAGATGAGCAACAGAAGACCCTGTGTGATAGTGAAATAATGGCTCAACATTCTCTAGAATGTCGCGTCCAAGAGTGTCCCAAGCTTCTGAACAGAGGTGATATTTCTTTTGGATATGGAAGTGACTTTTTAAAATATATACAAAATATTCACAGCTAATTAAACTTGTTATACTACATCGAATTATAAAATATTGTTACTTGTTTGCAATGCCAATGCTGTGGCATCCATACAAGATGTCCAAATTTATCATAACTTGAGAGATTTGTTATACATGTACATATTTATATATTAATACATTTTTACTGCAGCAATTCCTACCTTGGAAAGCTACTTGTTTTCCATATTAATTATTGACATTAATCTGGGTGAGGTAATAACAACAAGGTGTTGAAAATCGTGAAACTCCTGCATTTTAACCTATTTTATATGAATTCGCAGATGTTTTGTTGCTCTTCCCGGCGGTGAGAGACGCCAGCGTTCCCCTGACGGCCGTGACAGTAGCGCAGCGCACCGTGCACGACATGGCGGGCTGGAGCGAAGCTGTAGAAGAAGAGCGCGAGGTTCTCCTTGCCCAAGTACATTAACTAAGGCATAAGTCATAAATTTTATAAGATAACCCATACGGTTTTCAAATAACAATAAGGTTGAGGATTGATAAACTCCTGTTACTTAAACTATTTTACATCACCTAAATTGGTTCAAAGTTGATTTCTAGTTTAAATGACATTTATTTAGGTGGGTTATTGATTTTTTAATTATATTTAGCCTGTGAAAATGATGTGTACATTTATGGACGTGTGTTATGTTCACGTACCAAGAAGTTATGTCTTTTGAATGAATTAATGTATTGCCTAATATTTTCATTACAATGTACTTTACTCCACTAATTAAGAATCTTTTACACCAGTTCATAGATGCTGCAAAGAGTATGTGCACCTCTCTGAGCAGCGACGGCTACTGGGCCGACTTCATCGACCCCAGCTCAGGGCGAGCTTTCTTCGGTGCCTACACCAACGCCACTCTTTTCGAGACGGATGAGCGCTACAGGTGAGCTTATTGCTGTTAAATTTCCCGGTGCTGCTGATACTAGAGAAAATTGTTTTTTTGCCATTATTTGCCAGAGAAAAAGTGTCTTTTGTCATTATTAACTCACGTCACGGGAATTTCGCACTGTAATTTCTGAATTTTATGTTATCTTATAGACATCTGGGCTTCACCATTGATGACTTGGGATGCTGCAAGGTGCTGTCCCACCGAGAATATGGAACACATGTATTTGTGGGTGAGTAAATTTTACAGTATTCATATTATAATGTTGAAATATACAGTGAGGCTATATATGACGAGCATGAAAATGTGTGAGAATTGTGTGTAAATTAGAAGGTGTATGCTGTGCATTCTGTATGTGCTGGTCGCTATTCAATTATTTTTGCAAGTTCTATAAGAACGCTGTTTATTCTATTGATGACAACTGTCATTCTGTTTCTTCAAATTTCTGACGAACACTATTCAACCGTTTCTTAGTTCATGAACAATTAAAATCTTTCCCTTCACTTATCATGCAAATTTCAAGCATCGAGTTTATCAAATGCTTCAAAGAATACAGCGATGCGCCTAATTAGATTGCTAGTACATTGCCTCGTTCCTGGGTAGATAAAGCAGTGTGCATTTGTTTACTTCGACGTTTTGTAATATGAGAGACTACCAATATTCTGGTACTTCAATGCTTTGCATTATTTAGCCAATAATCATATTCTTGTTCAAATCCTACGCACGTTTAAATCCTGAATTAATTTATTTCTCTTGTGTTCCAGGTTGCATCTTCACAGACGCTCCTATTGGCAGTGCGTCTCTCACTGGCGTCGTGAGCGCCATGCACGGCACGCGGACGTCTTAACGCTCCCATGCACTAGCGAGCAGCTCTGACGAGTCTTCACTAGGAAATTTATCATCTAGATTCCGTAGCATAAGAAAACTTTTGCTGCGTCTAAAAATATGTAAGGGTTATCGATATCACAAATAAGTTGTTAGTGTCTAATTTGAAAGGAGTTTCCGAGCATCTTTACTCCTTACTTCTTGGAAATACTCCACCCTTAAATGTACATTTAATGCTTGAACAATAAATAAATTTTTTTTAAAGTTTTAAATTACAGCACCATGAGATTAATTAATACGTGTTTTTTTGGAAAACTAGTAAAAAAATATTACTGTGTAGTGTGTAACATGCGTAACGGATAATTTTAATAGCTTTAGGAGTTATCAGGCAATCTTGTTACACTCATCATCTTACGCCACCCATCGTTTCAAGTGTACTGTAAATACAGACCTCGCATAAATTGTATAGGTTTCTTCGTACGTTTCAACATATGCCGTATTTATTTATTGTAAATATATAATTATGAAGTTCGCTGACATTCAAACAAGTGTCCATTGGTATAACCCGAAGGAATGGGACCGTCAATGTTTTTTCTGAAAGTTATCTTTATCAAATACTTTAAAGTGGGGGTGTAAATTCCTTATATATAGCCGATCAAATTCTTAACCGAGATACGATTTTTTTTCTACACTTAGCCGTTTTTTACCTATTTTCCCCTTACATTAAAAATTTATTGTTCATTATTGCGAGAGGAATATTTTTCGTTTTTTTCTGTCACCGGTGCTCTTAACATTTATGAAAAGAATAAAACTTCTGTGTAAAATTGTAATAGTTAAAAGAGTTGTCTAGACTGTCAACGACGTCTCACTTGTATCATTTCCCATGCTACGTCTCTGTACGCCTGAGAGTCCAGATAGAGCGGCGGCATGGCGCTGGATAAGAAGAGGGCACGAAGTGGAGAAAGACTTGGAAAATTAAAACGTTCAAAACTACAGAGAATTTAAAAAGAAAGAAATGTTGACAGGAGAATGCAAGATCCCTGTAAATATATTTAATATAATACGATTTAAAAATTAATTAGCGCAACCTGTTGAAATTCTCTCTCGGGAAATGCGGAAGTTCAGTTTGGGTGTGAACTCTCTTTGCAACAACGCACATGTCACTGGCAAGCTTATGCACGTCACAAGCGTTACGATATCTCAGCTCGATGAAGTCCGTGCATTGAACTGTCTGCTTACGAGAGGCAGCGACAGTTGCCATGATATTCTGGCTTCTGTTTGAAAAGATCTCACAATACACGAATAACTATTTTCAACTTTGTAAAGTTGCAAGTAGTACAAATTAACGAATAATGAAATATTCCTCCCAGTTATAAATTAAAAACGCGTAAAAAATATGAATGACTTGGTGATCATATGGATGGCACTAGTGGGTGAAATAGACCCAGGTGTTATCTTATAATCTATGACCTGATGATCGCAAAGATTGCACTCGAGAGTAATCTAGACCCGCTTCATAGTATTGACAGAGGTCATCTCTGCAGCCCCGAGTCAGCAACGTTTGGCACTAAGCGCGTCTGCTCAGGACCAGGGAAGTCAGCGTGAGGGCGCAAGTAGTAGCCCAAGTTTAGTTCTGGAATGTCGTTGTAGAGACGAACTACGGTCAACACTGACGCCAAGCCCAACAAGAGATACGCTGCAACAAAATTAATAGTGAATGGTTGCCTTTAATTAAAAGATTTCGTAAGCGTGGTTCTAATAGTAATATAAACATTGAGTCCAATATGAAATAAATTTCGCTCTGTTTCGTGATCAGAGCATTTGAATATGGCTTGGCATAGATTAATCGACATTAGAATCGGAATAAATGAGCCAGCGACCATCTAGACCTACTGAGGGTGTTTCAGTCTTCCTTCCGTCTATATTATTATCCTGATAACCTCTGCATGTGTGCACCTGTTAAATAAACTGTACCTGCAATGGCAATTTTGTAGAGAGGCCGCAGTGGCTGGTCGAGGCTGTCGCCAGGGATGTAGTCGCCCAGGCCGATGGTCGTGAGGGATATGAAGCAGTAGTAGAAGCCGTCGAGAAATGTCCAATCTTTTTCAATGCTGCTGAATATGGCAGCCGGGATTATGAGGAACAGCACGAAGAACACCGACGAAATCAAGGCAAAATGTATCATCTGTATGTTGAGTGGCTGCACAGGCAAACATCTATTCAATTAATCAAGATTACTCCAATACAATTTCAGCATTACACGTTTCGACAGATTTGTAAACGGTGGTTTGTGCATTTATTGTCGTTTACAGATCGAACTTTTTTATTTACGCTGTATACAGTTATCGGAAAACGTTATGCACAAGAAAACCCTTCGAATTAAGCGTGATTTCTAAACTCATGCTAAGATTCATTGCAATTGATTCCGACCATACCATTCGTTGAAATTTGAATTGAACAAGACTTGAGGATAGTGTTAGCTCCGACCTATAAGATAGTAAAATTCTCGCAATGTATTGAAAGAAATTACGGCCAACATTATACCTTCTGCCGTTGTCGAAGCAGAATCTCAAGGCGACGCAGGCACCAAATAATGGGGCGGACAATTTGATCCACTAGCGCGGTGAGGAGAATGAATGTCATTGGTATGCCCATTAAGGCAAACGCAATGCAGAACACTTTGCCCCCTTCTGACAAAGGGTGCACATGCCCGTAGCCTGAGTAAAAAATTTCATCACATTCATTTTTATGTTCGTATGCAGTAAGGCTAGAGGAGTTCATTTGAGCAAGTATCGTTGCATGGAAAACGCGTGCCATGTTAAAACTTCATTTAAAAGTACCTATCATTCATTCATTCAACATTTGCTGGAAAAACGAAGCCGGCGTTAACTTATTTTTGGTAACAATAGTGAATGCGAAGAATCTCTTACCAATGGTGGTAACAATTGTGGAGGAGAAGAAAAAGCTCTGCCCAAACGACCAGTTTCTGTCGCCAGACGCGTTGCGTGCTGCTGACACTCCCCGGCGACTCGCGCTCGCTAATTCTTCAATAAATTCTTCAAGCGCTTCGTCTGCAGCAACAAATTAAACGTGTTAGAATGCCATGAACATCAAAGATCTGCTTATCATTTGCTTGACAGTTGCTTACCTCTGAATATTTCACATGCCTACTAATGAATGCTAGGAATGTTAGGCTTCACATACATGTATCTTCGGTTGAGTCAAGTGTCTCTTCTTGTACGTAAAGAGGAGAAAATGGACTAAGGCAACGGCAAGTGAAGTTTGTAAGCTTGCTTTCATTAGGGAAACGTTTAATTCTGCCTCGCAACTAACGTCTGGAAACGCGGGAAGGAGGGTCGATACGCTAGGTGGGAAAATATGATAGCTAGTGAATTTAATTGTAATGTCTAGATATGATGTTGCGTTTTCAATCGAATGTATGATAAAATACTACTGCAGCCATTCACCGTTTATTAACAAAGGAACATCTGCGTCTGCCTACACAAACGAGCGCGGCCATCTGTGTGTGTCACTTTAAGACACTTGTTCAACACATCAACCTCATGCTCAGGCCACCACCATGCCAAACAAGCCTCACAGAATACTAAATTATGACGCTTGTTGGCTGGAACAAAAAGATAAAGAATGAAATTTTATACTCTTCCTCACTGTTTTTATATGTTTACTAAGTAGGCTGTAATCGTAAACATTGGATTCCTAAAATTTTTAATGTATTTTGCTGCAATTTAAAGCTCAACAGTAAAAAATGCGCAATTTTCTTAAAATGAATCACTGTGCGATGTTATTATGTTACAACCAGGAATCAATACGTTTATTAATTGAAATATCTGACATACCTATTGAAATATCTGTGCAGTGAATTAACAGTTTATTACTCTAAATATCTTCAAATCACAAAATTTGCAATATTCTACTACAAAAACAAGCTGGATTTAATTAGGAGAAAAAAGTTGTCATAAGTTCTGACGCATTCGTTTCTACTAGGACCAAAATCAACTCTAATCTTATTGCTCTCTCCACATGAAGGTCTGGCTATCACCAACCTGTTCGTTAGACTAATTGCCTCACAGGACCTAAGATAATTAAACCACTTGACCTTCTGTGCATGGGTACACATGCTTTTCTTGCTAGAGAAAAAAAAACAATGTCACGTAGACAGGCAGAAACATCATAATAATTCTGATCGATATGACACATTTCTTTATTGTTCGCATAATACTTTGTTCTTACGTTGTTTTAATTAACTTGCCTCATAGCTAACTGGGAAAATGCAATGGGGGAAATTAGACCTTGGACGATATTAATGATAGCAATACATTTAAATAATTATCCTTCTTTTTAGAAAGAATGTATGTAGGATTCGAAAACATCGAACACAAGCATTAGCAAACAGAAGATTGTTGCAAATCCAGTTTTTTAAGGTTTACCTTTACTTTTTCAAATAACGAGAGTTATCGTGCCGTTCGAAAATGAACCGAGATCATCTATAAAGTTTATGAGTGAACTTAGACAACAAACTGAATCAATGCAAGTTTCAAATTATTTGGAATCTTAATTTAGTGCATACTTATGAACCAAGGAAGGAAGACCGAGCTTAACTAATGTTCGACGATACTCCAGGCACATATAATTTAAATGCTCACCTGAGACACAATAATTTTCAGACAGAAACGCCTCACGCTTTTCTACGAGACGCTTTCTGTACGCATCTTCAATAGCTCCTTCTGTCACCATGAAGATTAGAGCAGCGCCTGCGACGTAGGCAAAATATAAAGGAATATAGATAAGGAGCAGTGATACAGATCGTCTCATGGAGCACAACGTGATAGGAGACACATCACCATTCTTCTCCTCCTCCATGGTGTGGTACGTTGCACTGCCGGGGGCCATCTTGGAGAAGTCGAATCTAAGCAAGTCCTACTCAGGTTACTGTCATGAGCCTTTCATCCTATACTGTAATGAATAGAGCTGGGATCTCTCTTCATTGATTATTGCGCGTAAAAATCGGTAAAAGATGTAAAAATTAGTTATTTCTTTCTCAGCCTTTTTGATAAATCTTACGGTATTTACCAAGTTCATAAAATGGTCTTCAATTCCAATCTTTCTAATGGATTTTATTATGATTAAAAACTAAGCTATATTTTAAGAACCAAGTCCAAGGAGAACAGCAAATCATTGACATTTGTACATTAATGTTGAACCTTTACACGTAGTCGAGTAAAAAAAATTTTGCTACTGAGAAACAAATTTTAAAGTTTGAACTTCACAGCAAAGCAATTTGATCATTTTTCACGAAAAATAATTAGTCACTTTGAATTTGAGCCTATTATAACTGGTTAGTTAAAATTTTTAACAAAGCATCAGCCGACACTTTTCACGCATATCGGGCATTAATTTTAGAACTTGGATCAGACTTAACGAGACTAATGCTATGGGCAGGCTCTATTGGTCCCACGTTACATTTTTTTTTTTTAACTGAAAGAAGAATACCAGTTTAGAGCAAACGGCTTCTGTTCCACGCAATCTTCTTCACATGATCACATAGACTGGAGCTCCCGACGCAGCATATCTCACCAGCGTCCGCGCTCAACTGATATTTGTCACCCGCGGCCTCAGCTGTCACATACACAACACCTGTGCTGTGGTCTTCAGCACAGCATTGATTGTTCTGCTGCTTGCAGGTGCACCACTCACGAGAAGCAGGTGTATTTTTTATGTAATTGGGTTGAAGACTTGTGGTGTCAGAAGCACTTACCACCTAACACGTGTAATGAAGCAAGCTAAACAAAAGTATTCGTGTACTTCAAGCAAAACAAAAAAACAGTTATGAGGGCATTAGAAAAGTAATTTTCAGGCAACCTGCAGTAATGCCTTTGCAGACCATTGGTATATTTATATGGAATTTTTATTTTTATAAAAAAGATCGGCAGATCTAAACTTGGCAAGATTAAATATGATTCTTATATAGTCAATTGGATTGTTTTGAATTTTAAAAGATTAATAACAATAGCGCACTCTCTAAATTAATCTAAACATTAAGTTTCGGTCCAGCTAAGAAAATCATATTAAATAGCTCATTCCAAAGTCACGTACGTCTTGCTCCTTTAGTAAGGCGTAAGGTAATGAATGAAAAATAAATATATATATAAATTATATCCTTGCCATATTTCCCCGCAGGTAGCCCTCTCATTGGTACGGTAGCGCGTACATGGTACGGTAGCGCGTACATGGTGCTGCAGAGCGTACATGGTACGGTAGCGCGTACATGGTACTGTAGCGCGTACATGGTACGGTAGCGCGTACATGGTACGGTAGCGCGTACATGGTACGGTTGCGCGTACATGGTACGGTAGCGCGTACATGGTATGGTAGTGTGTACATGATACGGTTGCGCGTACGGTCTCGCCTTTTTTCGTTCTCGAAACTTACCATAACACACACCTAGAGATGGCATGGAAATCGTTAATTTCAATTCTATTGTTGTGGCATGTTTGACAAATAATGACAAAGCAAAATACAAATATCGTTCACTTTAATATCGTTTACCTCGTGATGTGGATTATTTCTAATTGCCAGTATTAGACGCTCCAAAGTTGATAACATTTTTTCTTGCCACTACAGTTCGTATGTATGAATGGATAACGGCCAAATTTGCGTGTAAGACGTTGGATAGAAAAAAGTCACATTTCTGTACATTTACTAGCACGGGGAAATTGGCAGAGAATCATATACGAGACTGAACATCGTCAAGATTCACGGACATGAAAATTAGAAGCTATTGCAGTAAGATAATGATAATAATTATGACGATATTAAAAAAACAACGTGCGTCAAATTCATAGTAAAAAGCTTCAGCCTATAGAGTAAACAGATGCATTAAAGTAAAATCAGGCTGATTTTCATAGAACTGAACTAAATCATAACTGGACTACATGCAACTTTTTCAGCAATAACAATTTCGGGTAAACTAAGCAATACATGCAATAATCCGAAGCAGCTTTTACAAAGTATAAATAACAAGCAATTTCCATCTGATGACGGCCAATATTGGAATGTATATTATTTAAATATTGATTTTCTACAACAAAGAATATTCCCAAAAAAACACACAATATCTGGCAATAAATCTGGGGTAATTTAACCCTTGTCGGATGGTATAGGTACAAATGTGCCTACATCATCAGGATTGCATTGTTGCAAAACTATGTAGCATGATGAGGGAGAAGTTGCAAGTGCATTCATGCCGCGATGTTGTAGAGGTAGACAACTCGTACAAATGTTACCTGGGACGCGTCATTGTGACAGTAAATAACTTAACCGAATAGAGAGGAAACAAATGCCGAGTCTAAAGACGCTAATGCCGCTATACGAAGTTTATAGGTGAGCTCTGTGGACCACAACGTCAAGTACATATAATGAGAATGAAATTTTAGTATAAAAGCCCTTCTAAAACCTTCAAGAACAGACTGAAATTAATAGAATAATTTCGAAATGTTTAGTTTGAAAATTGAAGCGAAATAATCCAAAAGCATGCATTTCCACAAGCTGTAACTTAAAAACTTTTTCGATGATAACGAGTTTAAGATCAACAAATCGACGGTCACGCCAGTCCTAGGAATATCAGTAGACCACCGCGAAGACAGTCGTAGCTCTTACACATTCAACAAGTTTGTTCGTATAAAACTATTGAGGCAATGATAAGCACTAAGATTATTATCCTTTGCAGAGCTTGATCTGCAGCACAGACACAGCACTCGTTGCACAAATATTAAGACATTCCGTCATATAAGTTAGGTACTGCAGCGATATTGAGGACACCGTACTGTATAAATAAGTTACAAGATAATGGACGTGACTTACATAGCATATTCTATCATATCGATTTCTTACATGTAATAGCTGGGAAAATACAGAGGTCAAGGCAGCGCGGGAACTTCTTGTTGCGAACAGGTCAGCGTTTTGATTCTTGAGCAGGACCCGATATAAGAGTTAGTAGTCGTAAAATGACTTGAATAATTTTAATAAAAATACGTATTCTTGCATTATGAAACAATCGTCATACAATTTAATCAACAACCTATATAACTAGTGATGTAACATACATTATGTACAGACTTAACTAGCTCTTTGATCCTCAGAAAACGCTAATGGAATGATTCTTAACGCGAAAATAATTGCACTGTAATTAGGAGGCTGAGACTCGCGCAAGTGAAAATTTCTTTGAGCTGCTCCATACAATCCGAGCACGCAGTGCATACCTAATTTCTAGTAACAGTTAGCAGCCTCAGCTTCAACATAGCCGGGAAATGCAACATGGAAACGCTAAAAAGCTCAAATAAAATTTTCTATGTGCAATAATACAAATTTTATTGTATTCAATAATAATCAATTTCACTACCTGAGCGTCGCTTGTTTTCCTAGTCATGGAGACCTGCAATTAGACTAAAAGCAAGGAGATGCCCTGCACTTTACGAGTAAAAAGACGGGTACATAATTATGCCAAGTTCTGAGGTTTATGGAAAATTTACTGTAGTGATACGCGCTCATCAGGAATAATGAAATGAGGGAGAAATGAACTTGAGATCACTAAGTGGACTGAGCCCAGACTACTTCGGGAAGATTAGGACGGACATGGAAGGCTACAAATATCACCAGAAAATAAGGCACTTCAATGCATTATTGTCTTAAGTCTTACTAATAATTCAACCTGCTATTCAATCCTACCGTATTCATGTGTAGCGTATTGAGCCACCACACTGGGCACACTAATTAAAGAGATAAAACTCTGAGACAGTCAAAAGTTATCTGGACACAATGTTAAAATACTGAGGAGTCGAGGGTTAAAGTTACAATGTACAAACAAGGCTAACTAAATTAATCTTTCTTCTGGAGGAGGTTTCATCATAGCGTCCATCTCCACTCGAGGGCTGTAGAACTCCTGCACGGATCAAAAACGTTGCTTTCAGTTACGAGTCTTCCACTATTATACGGTTTAGAGATAAAGCTTATTTAAGTTGCGATAAATATGTATAAATTTACGCAAACATGAAATAGTAAGATTTGGTAAATAATTATAGAATATTGTCGTTACTTTACCATGAACCTACATTTTCATGCAAACGAAATTTATTGTAAACGAAAAATTACTACAGTGTCTTGTTACGATGCAGTGAATAAAAATTTGAACGAACGAGAAATTCTTTCTTATCAACTACTAATTACTACGTGTTAAATTAGGTAATCAATAGGATACGACATTAGACCGTTGTTCGGTCTAAACTAAATGAATATTCAAGACCAGCACTGACTTGTCTGCTAGGAGAATAAGTTCCTCGAGTGGCTCGCTTCTTCTTGGCCATCATGAAGAAGACGACGAGACCCACGACGGCGCAGATGACCATCACGCCCACCAGCGCGCCGATCAGGATGGCCAGGGCCGTCGACGACAGCAGCGACTGAGGCTGTACGATACCAGAAAAATCGTCACTTTAAAATCGATATATAATTATCATTACTTTATAATAATTATTTTACATTGCATCACTTAATAATCCGTTTTTAATAATTCTGATATGTGGCGTTGTTTTTACGTGTGGCGTTGTTTATACGAAGATCAACCACATGACAAATATATACAAATTTATCCTAAAAGCAATTTTCTTCTGCTGTGCATATGCAGCGCATGACTCACCTCCTGACAGGTCTCGCCCACCCAGCCCTCGGCACAGTTACAGAAGGGCCACGTCTGGTTAGACGCAGCAGGTAAGCTCTCATCGCACTGCGGCACGCACACGCCTTCGTTGTAACACTGGAACTGCTCAACAAAATAAGAACAACATTGGTCTCTATTATTTGTATATTATATTCATTATCTTATCAACAGCAAACATCGTAAACGGGCCCAATTGGGTGCTGGTGGGGTTTGTGAAGATACTATTGGTTGAAGGATTATTCGTCCACATAAGAGGTGGTTCAAGTTAACATCATTCACGACGGATATAATACAAAAAAAGCTTGCAATTACCTCTACGGCTGATTCTACCTGTAAAAATAGTAGCTCATCTATTTTAATTATTAAATTTACAATGAAATAGTTTCAAATCTCATCAAAAAGTGATGAGATTTAAAAACAACAACAGATATTCCATTCCGTTTGAAGAGTTCGTATCAAATTCACCATTAGATATGTCGAAAAGAAGTCGAAAAAACAGAGTGTTTTGTAAATTAGCAAGAAGAAGTTTGCGCGACGGACGTGGTGACTTACTTCCATACATGGGTTGTGCAGAGAACAAGTGCTGCCACACAAGTCGTCAGGGCAGTCACACTCGAAAGAGCCCGGCGTGTTGATGCACTGGTTGATGTCGCTGCAGTTGGCTACATGCAACGCGCACTCATCCACGTCTTCATTACACGTCTCACCTTCCCAGCCAGCTGTGAAATAATTATAAATAATACGAAAATAAAATAATAATTAATAATGAATTAAATACGGAGAACAAATACTTTCAAAAGCAATTGCAGTCGAACTCAAGTCTTGGTATTTAAGGAGCTGATAATTGATCTTAATTGCATCGACCCTAATGCTTATATATGTACATTTTTTGAACCTATAAGAAGTAGGTCATCGTCACGATTCATTTTAAACCAGCAGCTTTGAATGCTACATTCATTTTCCATACATTTACCATCGATTATTCATAAATTTCTCCTCTATCTTCTATTCGTTTTCTAGGAAATTTAAAAAAGATAGTAAATTTCTAAATTATTTTCCCCTAATTTTGTTGAGGCTCGTAGTAAGAATTGCGAAAAAATCCTCATATTTTTCACTGTTATATCTGTGAAAATGAATGGAATCCTGAGGCAGCTCGAGAATTGTATCTGCCTCATGCAAAGCTGGACTAAACTGCGAGTAGCTAATCTCAGTAATATAATAGAATTCAATTCAATCCATATCACGATTAACTATTTAACCCTGGTCAGAATGCACAATTTCACGTTAAAAGCGTACCGAGTTCAAGTACAATTATCCTTACGATGTTCAACATGGGTAACAGCAAAACAAGAATAAAGTAAATATATTTTCCATTATTTAGAGCGTAGAATATGAAACTCACGCAGGCAGTCGCAATGGTAGGAGTCCACAGACTCGGTGCAGGCCGCTCCGTTCAGGCAAGGTCCCGATGCGCATTCGTCGATGTCGTTGTCGCACAGCTGCCCTTCGTAGCCCTTCTGGCATGAGCACCTCCAGCCCTGAGCACTCATCCCATTAGTGCAAGTAAATGAAATAATGCACAGTTAAGCTCTCATGAAACCACAGTAAAGTCTAGGTTATAGCGGTTTCGGTTTCGGCGTTTATTTGGCCGTAGGCCTGTCGCCGATTCTTAACATTGCAGAACATCCACAGCTTGTTGCGGGCTTGAACTCGCAACTCGCTGCTTCAATTTTCCTTTGCTTAACCGCCCGGTTAAGAATTTAATAATGAATAAGGGTATGAATTGAATAATCAAGGAAAATGTCTTAAATGAAAAATAGGCATAGTATTTTAAGAGAAATTGTGAATTGAACATGCAAAATTTATCAACTTTAACGTATAAGGAGCCACCACGCTACTTTACTGCATGCTTCTACCATCAAGTATTACCAGCTCCTCTAAGATGACGCAAGACCATCACTCACAGGCTTGACATACGAGAGGCTGCAGGTGCCGAAGTGGCAGTTGATATCCTTGCAGAAATCGACGACGGTGTCGCAGTCATGGCCCGTGTAGCCGAAGAGACACTGGCACGAATAATTGTCGGGCACTCGCGACAGCTGACCTGCGAGTCGTGATTGCATTTGAGGATGTATTTGTGGAATTTTTCATTGCATTTGAGGATGCATTCAAAATCCCGCCGTGAGCACAGACATAATAGCCTGTCTTACAGAGGTCTGAACAGACATTTAAATACAGATTATGCTCCAAACATCCGTCGAGAAAGTAACTGAACAAGTCGGCATTTAATTACAGAACAATAAATCAATTAACTTCAAGTCATGAGCTTTAGATGTAAAATTCAATTCCTGATTAACAATAACAGTGATAATAAAGAGAAGAAGTACTTACTTTCCATACTGAGAAAAAGGTCGGAACAGGTGGCATTGTTTTGGCATCTCCTGTTTTCGCAGCTGTTGATCTTGAGGTCAGCGCACGTGTCACCAACGTAGTCCTCCGTACACGCGCACGTGAACGAAGCCACGTTGTCCGTACACGTACCGCCGTGCATGCAAGGCTGTGCTTCACATTCGTTGATTTCCGTCTCGCAACTGCGGCAAAAATACGCGATTCATTGAAGAGTCTGTAGTTAAAATCCACGAATACTTGGCGTGTATTTGGACACCGGTTTTAAAAATATACACCAGTTTAGCTAAGAATGGTTCTCGCCAAGCAATGCAAAGCAATCAACATATCATTTATAGATTTACACGTTTAGATTGGACAAACGTACTGTTTAACTTTAATACCCGTTAGAGAAAATAGTGGTCATAAAATGAACGTCATAGGTTGCATGACATTGAGAAACGAGTTCAAGATCGAATCGTATTGGTATTGGCCTTGAAAATTAATATCAAAACATACTTGGCTCCAGTGTAGCCAGCAGCGCACTCGCACATGTAGAAGTCGATGCCATCCCGACACGAGGCGCCATTCTGGCACGTGTTGCCCACACAATCATCGATGTTGATCTCACAAAAATGTCCTTCGAATCCACTGAGGCACGAGCACGTGAAGTTGTCAGCAGGACTTGCGCAGTGACCGCCGTGCTCGCACTCGTGATCGTAGCAGACACGACACCCAAGCTCGCCTGATTCTTCCAACTTTGAACCACAACAAAAAACGTCAAATTACGTCAAAATGTAGCTCAAATGAGCATAAATTTTCCAACTCGCTTTCGAACCGCCACCCTCCAATCATGTCAAATAATTAAATTTCCAATCGAACTAATTAACTAATCAACTCAGATTATTAGCTGGAATCTTCAAGTATATATTAAACTAGCAATTAACGTTATCTCCTCAAGTTGAATGATAAGGTATAAATATATACCTATATTAAATTAACAAGCTATGATAATTTGATAATCACCATAAGTTGAAATTTATTAGGAGAGGCGTCGCCACTGAGGAGCTGGGCGGGGTATGACGGCAGCAGGAGACTCTGCACGCGCACCTCACCGAAACACCCGCGGTAGAAGGGCGGCAGGGCAACGCTTGATGCCACCACTGCATCTGCTGCGTATATCGTACAACATAAGCCACTAGAATCCCTGATAAATAACGTATATTCCTCATGAATCAAGTTTGTTTTTCATTCATGAATCTAAGTCAGACGGAAAGCATTGGAGTAACGCTGGTAATGCGGCTTATTTATTTGATTGGCGAGAAGGACCAGCCAAGTAAATGAAACGACGTAATATAACAGGAGGAAATATCTTCGTGATAAATTTCGGTAGTAATGCATTCATAAACTTATGGTCAGACGGCAAACAATGGAGGTTTGCATAATCCTTACAAGATTTGCCACGAAAATGGTGTTAAACTTCCACGTGCTTATAAAAGTTCAAGCTGATATGAGAAGAACTGCTAACTAATCTGACCTGGCACGTGGTCTCCCAAATGTTCTCCGCCTGCAAGAGTGAAGCCTGTCGACGAGGATTGCCCTCCTCCCAGGTGGATATTTCCTAAAAAAACATTCAATACTCAGTTTTTGGCTGATACTTCAACAGTAAATATATTATTCAATAATTTTTTGATAATTCTTTCAAAATGAAAGATTTTACTAAACGAGATCGACAAGATATCAACAACTAATATATTTCCAAGCTACTTACAGGTACTTAAGTAACTGCAATGCAGTATTTAAGATGAACGATGATTGCAAGTAGTTACCATGGAGCGTCAAGATGGTCATGTCGATGATGGTTGGCTGAGGGCTGACCGGCGTAAGATTGGCGCTGTCGAGCACCACCTCAATACAAGAAAACCAGACACGTTCATACAAAAAACCACGACAATATGCTAAATGTTAATTACGGAAAGTGTGAGAAACTCAGAACAAAATTTTCCGTAATAAATTACTCCCTCGCTCTGAACGCAATAGAATTCGCTTCCAAATGCTTATTGAGATCCTTTTATTCAGAGGTTGATATATGTATTTCTGAGCAACAAATTATAATTGACTTTTATTTAAGAATATTAAAGTCTAACAGCCCACATGAAGAAATATCTATCGGCAGTAAAACAACATGAATATCCTCAGTCCAGTCGGATAAATAAACCTCTTTTGCGAATTTAGACCTTTTACTAATCATCTTTCTCATCACAGGACGCCAAGGCAAGAGCCTGCAGACCTAACCTTCTAGCATAGACCTGACTTTCCGCTGTCAGACATCAGCGTGTTCGGAAAAATAAATTCTTTTTTGACCGAGCAATCATTATGATCAATTCTTCGCATTACAATTTGTATAAAACTCGGCATTGACCTGTGTCCTGTGGTCAATAGAAAACAATTTTAAAACAATTTTCCGACAATTCCTCACCCGCACACTCGTGCCAGGCACCAGAGTGACGTTGAGGACGTGCCAGTCCCCGTCCAGCGCCCGTGACGAGAAGAAGTCCACACGCAGAGCTTCAGACGCGTTGCCCTGCAGCACCGCAATCACTGCACCGTCCGCCACAGCCACCACGCCGATCTCCACAGCAGCGGACTCCATCTCAGCCACAAACATCACGCCGCCATTCTGCTCACGAGAAATAGACTGAATGGGATACTCTAAAACTTACTGTTTACTAGGTTTTATTACCTTACAAAAAATTACTTTGGCACAATACAGATTTTGGGTCATTTTTCATTTACGTTTTCTACCTCAATTCGATGTTTCCTAAGCCATTGAAAACAAAGCGTTTTATTACTTGAAGTACTTGTGTCGTACCTGAGATCTAAATGCGATGGATATTTCGTTGACGACGGCAGGGGGCGCCGTGAAGACGGCCGTGAAGGAGGCCGTAGCGTTGACGCCGTTCATGGTGCGGTCCGCAAGACACTCGTAGCCGTCCATTAGGTTACGGCACACAGAGTTGTCGGGGCAGCCGTGGATGGCGCAGTGCTCCAGCTCGTCGCAGTCTTTGCCCTTGAAACCAAACGTGCACGTGCATCTGGCAACACGAATAGGTGAATTAATTCATATGCCTCAACATTTAACTGAAGATTGATAAGCTTTCTAAAACCCATGCGGGGATTTGAAGGAAAAGCAAGGAAACAAATACGGTCAACTAATGAGAAGTAGTGCAAAATCAATTAATTATCGTATGTATCAACGTAGAAGCCTTAAAACATCATCAGCGACCCACATGACACGATCGTCAACAGACACGATCATCAACAGATACGATCATCAACAGATACGATCATCAACAAATACGATCACCAACAGACACGATCATCAACAGACACGATCATCAACAGACACGATCATCAACAGACACGATCATTAACAGACACCATCATCAACAGACACCATCATCAACAGACACCATCATCAACAGACACGATCATTAACAGACACCATCATCAACAGACACCATCATCAACTCACTGATAATCATTCCACGTGACGTTGCAGGTCGCCTCGTTCCTACAAGGGTTTGGGTCGCAAGCAGAGTCCGACACGGTGCCCATCAGCACGTTTGTTAACTCAAATGAATCCAACTGTAGCCCGGGGAGGCTGAATTGCTCTTCTCCGACGTCTTTTATGGCGAATGGTTGAACAAGATGCGTCAGGGAACCGTTGCTGATCTTCAAGTTTCGAGAGAGAAGAGCTTATTTAAAAAATCAAACAACACAATTACACAACGTTTATCACTGGTAATATTTTTACTCAAAAACAGTCGGTATTTATACAAAGTTTTCTAAAATACCCTATGAACTTTGACAATGAGATACCCCAGGCAGCACGCATATGGAATTCGTTTCTACAAAACCAAGGCATGCTGCAAGTACCACCTTTGTGACTCACCCTAATGTCTTGAAGTACTCCCTTGAAATGCACGGGACTGTCGGGCGTCACTGACGTGGTAGCCACCACTGGCGACGGTGTCGACGGAGGCGCGGGTGTGACTGTGGATGAGACAGATGCTTCGCGGGAGTCTCCACGGGGAGACAAGGTTGCTTCCAAGACATCCGCGCGTTCAGAAGTGGTGGCCGTGAACTCAACTGATGTTCGTCTCGACGTCAAGTCAACCGTCTCCTCAAAAGGAATGGTAGAATCAAAATGGTTCTCAGATAAATCAGGGTTGAAGGTTGAGACACCACCAACAGTTGGCCTGGACAGATCTTGTCCGTTATTATCGCCGCTGCTGCCGGTGGTGATTCTGTTATTGATTGAGGAGTCGTCGTTGTCGTTGTTGCGGACGCCGAGCTGGCGTCTGACCCTAGCCAAGGTAGAGGCAGGCCAGGGGGTCAGAGACGTGGAGGGGGGCAGGCCTCCCAGGTACATCACCTCGGGCAGGAAGTCCCCCCCGATTGAGAGGGAGGTGTTCAGGCGCTCGACTTCATCAATCAACACGAACAATTGATCATTTCTTCGAGTCACCTGTCGGAAAAAAGAAGAAGAAAATAATGCCCCTGATATTTTATTGGATGGAAACAATTCAATAAATGTAATTTTTTTTAATATTGGTTAAATTGAATTGTTATATAATTTTTAATATATTCAATAACAATTCAAGAAATATCTCACACCCTAATTATTATTCTAATGTCCCAAATACAACTGTTTTGATGATATAAATGAATCAGCGACGTAGAAAGTAGGGAGAACGATGCGGGATGAGTGAATGATGAATAAGCTGCTGCATGCGAGACATACCTGCAGCAGGTGAGGCTGGCCGTCATGCAGGGCGGGCGGGGGCGCTGTGAACTGCTCCTGGCGCCCCCCGAGACTGAGGCGCACCACAGCGCGGCCCTCCTCCAGGGCACACAGCAGGTATGATGCGCCTGCAACATCCGTGTAATGCTTTTAATATAATGATTAAATAGTGATATTGCAATAACAGTTAGATCACCTGAGCATGAAATGCTCTAGCAAGTCTTTTTTCATAAGGATTTATACTCAACTAAATTTAAAGTATGTATGGATGTCATCAAGAACCATGAATGGTCGCAACGGTTTCAAATGAATAATTCAATAATTAATATGAAGAAATTCCTACAGTAAACAGCGTCCCTAAAGGTCTATAATAATCAGCCGAATCGAAAGCCAGTTAAGATTTCAACTAGAATTATTAATTTATGTACAGGTTAAAACATTTTAATATAAAGAAAAAGCTGGTAACGCACCGGTGTTGTTGAGATGGGACCCGATGTAAAAGATGAGTCCCTGGGGCTTCCTGGTCCTGACGATGAGGGACACGTCGATGTGTGAGCGGTAGGCGGCGCCCTCGGCCCCCGGCAGCGCCACCGTCACCAGAGAGTTACGCGAGTTCTCATTGTCGAACGTCGCTGCAGTAAAACCTGGGCAGGGTACGCACGTTAGCTTTACGGTTATTAAGTGGTGTGCTTATAATACCTGAGGCGTATCCATAGTTATTAAATGGTACGTTTATTATAGCTGAGGAGGATACATAGTTATTAAGTGGTATGGTTATTATGGCTGAGGAGGATACATACTTATAACACTTGAGGAGGATCCGTAGTTATTAAATGGGAGGCTTATTATGGCAGCTGAGTAGGAAATACGCAAGTCGAACTATGCTACTAGATGTGGCAGTGAGAAGTGTTTTTTGAAAAAAAAATTAAGAATGTACTCTGAGCATCAACAGAATGCATTGCCTGCGAATAAACACGAGCGTCAAAACGCGTCAACAAATATTTAAACGAAGCGAATCGTGTGGGAAATATTACACATTTAGCTTCCGTAGTGAATCTTGAAAAATAATATTTGACGTGCTATCGATGGTCCAATGGGCAGAAGTTGTTCCAAACAACGGAACAACTATCTCAGCTGAGGATCCAGAAGAGTCTACCGGACGATTACAATAGTAACATTCTGTCAAATATCATATACAACTAAAGTTAAAGCCATTGCGGAATTTCGCGAATGAATTTAACGAATGAACGGAAGGAACGTCTTCTGTAATGATAGCACTAATTGATATTGTAAAAAGAATAATTGACAATAAAGATTGTTCTGCCATAATTGTGTTACGTGATTTTTCTTTTCTATGATTTAATTAATACAAATGGACGAATAAATCTAGATGACGTAAGCTTGACTAATGAGAATACTTTAAAACAAGTACTAGAATAATTTGTAGCCATTATTACGAAGGTATTGAGCAACGTACGTGAGCTCTGATCACCGTTACATTGGATGAAGCTTGTAAAAAGAAATACGATTAGAGCGTTTAAGAATATACGTACAGAGCGTGTAAGAATATATGTACAGAGCGTGTAAGGAAATACGTACAGAGCGTGTAAGAATATATGTACAGAGCGTGTAAGGAAATACGTACAGAGAGTGTATTCAGTAGACGCCTCCTCTAATGCCCCCAACACGTAGGAGAAAGAGAACACTGCTTTCAATAAATATGCCCGTTCAATATATTAATTATTGAAAAAAGCTCGTGATAATTAAAGTGAAGGTAAGTCTCAGCCTGCTTACGTAGAAGTCTAAATGTGTTTAATAAAAATAAAACTATGCTTCATTTCTAAGAAGTAAAAGTATGTTCCACCTCTATTGCAATGTATTTATTTTTCAATGCAATAGTTAATAAAATTAATATCGTTGTGACTGTTTTTATAATACAACATTATTATGTACAGGCATCCGCCAACTTACACCTCGTAAACCAACGAGCAACATATTTTACGTGAGAATACGTCATTTTTAGGCCGGCTAAAATTTAATTAATAATTTGTATTATTTAATTATTAATAAAAGTAACAATAAAAATTAATACTACTTTTGAATTAATAATAAAATCAATATTATTTTAAATTAACACAAATAAAAAAAGGAATTTAATACTCACTAAGCCGGCATATGCACCTGAGGTAGACATGCAGACACTAGTTCCAGAATTCACTATGAATAACATATTAAACCTACAAATAACATAACAAAATAATCAAGTATCAGGTTTAATGACGCTAGACTCACTAAGTCGGCAAGTGCGACCCAGATAAGGGCGGCGACAGTGACACTCGTACGTGTTCCACAGGTCACTGCAGCGGCCGGAGTTCTGGCAAGGGTTGGGCTGACACTGTTCCTCCCTGGGGCATCCTTCCGTGATGTTCACCTGAAACACAGTCCTTAGTATCCTTAGCATCCTTAGTATCCTTAGTATCCTTAGTATCCTTAGTATCCTTAATATCCTTATTATCCTTATTATCCTTAGTATCCTTAGTATCTTTAGTATCCTTAGTATCCTTATTAACCTTAGTATCCTTAGTATCCTTAATATCCTCAGTACATGTCGGACGTAGCACTCGCAGGCCACGCTGGAACGTCGCCTTACAACTGTCGTCTCGATTATAAAGGTGTTTTTAGTGCGTCAAAGATGTCATGATTATTCATTTGAGCAATTTAATATTAAAGACATGATCAGTTTTGCAGCGGGACGCTTCGCATTCGGCCCGGTGTAGAAAATGTGCTGCTGCGGCTCAGCATTGTACAGGCACAAGATAATTTTGATGAATAAAGATGGTGCTTTTATTTTTCATTACTAAATTCAAACATTTGTTGAGAGCGGTCAGACCGTGTGATGACATCAGACGCTGCTTTCGACGAATTATAGACCTATGTTCATCCCGCTTCAATGGAAGCCAATTGTTGTTGTTTCATCTCAATTCGATATATATCACAACAAATGCACATAAAAGTCGCATGAAATGAACTAATTCTTTAAATTTATTCAGAGTGAGCGAATCCAACATTGATTCATTCTATACAAACTTGCAGTAAACATTGGTATGGTACAATGTCCAGTCGTTTACTCTGTGATTTAGTCTATTGATCTAAAAGTCAGCATTGATAAAAATTATTTGTGTTGACGACTCAGACGTTCCTTATCGACGTACATGACGAGCTGCCCGTTCACGTACCTTGTTCCTGGCAGTTATGAGCGCAGGCACGACGGGCTGCCCGTTCACGACAGCGTCCTGTATGCAGCCCGTCAGGAAGGGCGCGTCGTTCGTGACAGATCTGAGCGTGGCGATCGCACCACCTGTGCGAAAAATTTAATTGTAACATGCACGTTACAATGAAAATAAAGCATTTCAGTTACATATTTTATAAATATTGAACATTCAGTTATTCTGATAAATGATAATGAATCATTATGGCCGCAGACAACAATAAAAGATCGCTGATAAGAAGTATCGGAGATACGCAGAGTTCGCACACTTAAATGGAGAAAATCCCGTTTCTAAAAGCAGCTCTAATAATAATTGAAAACTGCTATATTTTAATTTGAAAAAATTGCACATAACTAAATCGCAAAAATCAATTCAATTATCAATTGTAAAAATAAATATGATTCGTTTAAAAATATATATGATTTCATTTATAATTTATTATTATTTTTTTCTTATTTATCATTTCATTTACAATTTAATTATTTAATGTATCAATGTATAAATGAAGCAGAGTTGGTATGCAGGATCAGACCCAAGACAGTAGAGGTGAAGGACGTGTGGTCGTCTAGGGGCGCGATGGCGTGCGCGTAGGACTCGTTGCCCCCCGTCAGCAGCACGTGACTCTCGTTGATGATGACGGCCACGCGCTGCCACGCCCCGCTGTTCAGAGACGCCCCTGCAAATATGCCTTCCCACCTGCACGAGAAAATTATACCAGTGTAGGGCTTCAGGATTTTCATCCCTAAGTTATATCTGGGAAAGAAAATTGAACCAGTGTAGGGCTTGAGGATATTCATCACTAAGTTATTGCTGGGGGAGAAAATTGAACCAGTGTAGGGCTTGAGGATATTCATCACTAAGTTATTGCTGGGGGAGAAAATTGAACCAGTGTAGGGCTTGAGGATATTCATCACTAAGTTATTGGCTCCTTCAGATTTTGTAGGACGAAATTGAAGCTAAGACATCCTAGGACTCGAGGAGACACATAGAGTTGGTGGCTGATGCTTCGTAATATTTCTGTAGTATTCAACGGAGTAGAAGTATGGATGATGAAATAGGACTGGCGTGACGATTAGTCTGAAAAATTCATCGAGTCTATAAACTAAATCTACAAATAGGATTGAAGGGTTTTAGTTAAATGGTTTTATATTGTTGAAGGGTTGCAACAATGGTTGCAGCCTGAGCAAAAAAGAATGCGAATGGAGCAAGTAACGACAACGACTCACTGGTTAAGAAGCGAAGAATGTAAGTTAAGTCTGCCGGCGTTGAGGGCGAGACTGAAGTAAGTCTGGCCGCTGCCCACCGCCAGTAGACCGTCGGGCAGCGTGGTCCGTACCCACATCTCCAGCGAGTAGCCTGCATAGCAATACATTTTTGGATTACTGTATATATATTGTCGCACATAATATTTGTAATGTGTAATGCACGAAAAAATTATATTAACAGGCGCAATGCTCAGAATATAAATACACATTATGTTACCATGGATGATTAACAAAACCAGACAGGGCTTTGCTTACTTGGAGTGTAGGACTTAGATATCAAGAGTAATATTCGTTGCATGAAAATGAATACTCAGCTGTAGAGTTACGGTAAACACTAGAAAATAAAATTCAGGACAAATTTAAACTGCAGTTATAATCATTTCGATAAAACCGGCCTCACCAGAAGTGGCATTAACATTGGAGTCGACGAGCAGGTAAGAGGAGGCAGCCAAGGAGAAGGTAGTGGAGTCCCCGCAATGCCTGCCGGTGAAGCCAGGCTGGCAGTGACACGTGAAGTCGTGAAGCGTCTCATTGAAGAGCAGCGCTTCACACGAGCCTTCATTCAGGCACTCCACTTGAAGGCAGCCGAGCAGCGCCACTGAGCAGTTCTTGCCGCCGTAGCCCAACTCGCACTCGCACTTGTAATCAGCGACCTGCTCAAGAAACAATATAGTTTTGAAGGCATATTAACTTCTATATTTAATGTGAATTAGATATAGAATCAATTCTTAAATAATCTTGTAAGACTGAGCAGCGTCTCGATTTCATAATTTAACGCAATCTTGTGAAAGTTCTTCAAAAGTGCAAACTTGATCGTGCCACGATTAAATTCCTCAATGGAATAGGTCTTCTTACACTCAGAAAATGAATGAATCATCCTGTCCAAATACTGACACACTTTCTGCACATAACACATCAGTGTTACGTTCACCCTTTAGCTGGACCACTGTATCAGGATTACCCACCAAACGGCAAAAACTTCATCGCTATTTAGATACAGTCACTTATTTCTCTGGCAAAAACTGCATCGCTTTCAAGACAAATGTCACACTCATTTCTGCGCGTGTTGTGTAGTGGTCGCAACTCGCCTGGTCGCGACACGAGCCGTGCACGCAGGGCTCGTAGCGCTGACACTCGTCTATCTCCTGCTCGCAGTTGGCTCCCTCGTAGCCAGGCTCGCAGTGACACTCGTACGAGTTGATGCCGTCCACGCAGGCCCCGTGCATGCAGGGGCTGCTCTCGCACTCGTCGATGTTTATCTCGCAGTTGTCGCCTGTTCAAATATACTCTCATAAAAAAAGATAATAGAGCTTATTTTCTTCTGATTATCAGAGATTTCTATACATACTTTATATCATGAACTCATCAAGAAAATATATTGCTATACAGAAGTATAGGTATTCCTTAAGTTCGATTATTGGGCTTATGTTACCACAGGACCCCATAATCTAAAATTATTACGCATAATGTACATCATAACCTCAGATGAAGTTCTGTAAGTGGCAAGTGGAGCTTCAGAATTTAACCTTGTTAACTGAATACTTTTTTGCTGTATGCATTTAAAGCATAAACTTAACCGCCGTTACGTGATCAAGCCTCACGAGGTTAGAACTGCTGTTCTTCAGCATTCACCATTTTAACCTACTATTCCTTGCATATATAGACTATAGAGCAGCATGTACTTCATGAGAAACTTCATAATCATTTCACTACAGCCGACAGCAGAGTATCAACAACACTTGAAAACCTCTGGATGCATTAACCCACGTAGCCCCACCATTAACGTACAATCCTTATATATCATGAAATAATAAGTACTATATAAGCAACTTCATCATTATTCCAGAACTGATAACAGCAAAACAGCACCTGTAAATCCGGGAATGCACTGACACACGTAGCCCCCCGCAGTAGCGAACGAGAAGCGCTCGAACACTCCGAGCTCGTAGAGCGTCGTGTTGCTGCGCTCGTAGCAGGTGCCCCCGAACTGACAGGGCGAGGACGCGCACTCGGGGATGTCCATCTGGCAATTCTTTCCTGAAAAAAAAAAACAATTAAAATAGGCTTATTACTAACCAAAATCCTTGTGTCATGGGCGATTTAGTCATATGAATCTCAACTTTCTCACATTTCAGATTCATCCGAGACATAATCACGTTGCACTAATTAGATTTATACAGATTTAATCACAAATTGTACTAATTAGATGAAGCAAATAAGAATTCAGGTCTCATTAGGCCGTAATGAGGGGGATAAAACTGACCTTCATAGCCTGTGTGGCAGGAACAGGAATAATCCTTGACGAGATCGGTGCAGTTGGAGCCATGCTGGCAGGGCCGCGGTTCACAGTCGTCGATGTTGACCTCGCAGTGGTCGCCCTTGAAGCCTGTGTCGGAGCAGTTACACGAGTAGCTGTTGATGCCATCTATGCACTGGCCGCTGTTCTCGCATGGTCCAGGCTGTATGTGCATGTGGAGGAGAGAAGAGCAAACTTGTATTAGGAACCGAGTAAGAACTATGCGCATCAATTTAAATCAATAGAATATGTAAGTATTTTTACGGTGCATACATCGGTTTTCCCCATATTATAAGTTGGGCAAGAACTATACAACCTAATTTAAAATATTGTGGAATGTGAACAGAATCACAGTGCGTACTACTATTCTTTTTCAGAAAAGGTTACTTTCGAACACATAATCGTGAAATCTTTATCTTATCGTATTGAAATCATATTTTATTTGCATTTGACACATTCACCCCAAATTTAGAAAGCTATGGGACCCAAATAGGCGCGCTCACCTCACACTCGTCGATGTTGGTGGAGCAGACCGAGTCCGTGTAGCCCGGGACGCAGACACACGAGAAGGCAGCGATGAGGTCGATGCAGGTCGCCCCATGAAGGCATGGGTCGCCCTCACACTCATCGATGTCTGTCTCACAGTCCGCCCCAGTGAAGCCAGGCAGGCATAGGCACTCGTAGCCGTTGATTTGGTTGATGCAGGAACCGTTGTTGTGGCACGGATGTGAGAGACACTCGTCGAACTCGACGCTGCAGTGGTCCCCGGAGAAGCCCGGCAGGCAGTAGCATTGGTAGGCGCCCTCTGTGTTCTCGCAGATGCCATTGTTACAGAGCCCAGGGGTCGAGCACTCATCTATGTCCGTGTCGCAATTCTGGCCTGAGGGCAAGCATGCATCAACTTACATACGATTTTTGTTCAGCCTAATGAAATCTATGCAGCGATAAATCATAAATGAGCATTTACTGTATGTTCACATTTTAATAATTGCACCTATTTTAAAGTAATTTTTTACGACATGAATTAATTCTTCGAGACCTCGACACTCACAAGTAATGTCACCTGGACAATTTTCTTGCGTAAAATTTATTTTACATTTTATTATTACGATCTCCACGATCTCCCAAACAGCAACAATATCCAGTGTAGTCACGTGGACAATTTCCTTGCTTGAAAATGTATTTTAAATTGTATTTTTACGATCTCCACGGGGTTCTCGAGACCTCGACACTCACCAGTGAAGCCACGTGGACACACGCACGTGTAGTTGGCGATCCCGTCGACACACGTGGCCCCGTGGAGGCAGGGGGAACTGTCACACTCGTTCACCTGGTCCTGACAGGAGGGGCCAGTGAAGCCTGCTGGGCAGCGGCACTCGCTGCCGTTCACGAGATCGTGACACACGCGACCGTTGGTGCATTCCACACCGACGCAGTCGTCGATATTTACACTACAATCATTGCCTTCAAAGCCTGCGCAAAATAAAAAAATATTTAGCAGCATACAGGATTACCACATATGAATAAACTATCACGAAGATATGTTCTAGCAATACAATGAAGTTCATAAGCAACACTCACCAACGCTACACTGGCACGTGAAGCCAGGCTGTCCGTCGCTGGAGAAGCAGAGGCCGGCGTTGAGACAAGGGTCAGAGACACAGGCGTTGTAGGGCTCGGCGCAGTGGAGACCTGCGAACTCCGGCAGACAGTCGCAGGTGTAGCTGTTGACGCCGTCCCTACAGGAGCCTCCGTTGAGGCAAGTCACCCCGGCGCAGTCATTGATGTCGGTCTCGCACTGCCGGCCTGCGCATATATTACAATAAAAAACCAAAACGGACAAAAATTCAAATTCATTCAACAAAAAAAAAAAAAAATACGGACAAAAATTCATTAGGCTAATCACCATAGTCAAAAAATATATAACGCCTGAAAAGTTCTATTCTAAAACATGACTATGTGTATTTTATATTCATGCATAAATCGGAAATATGACCTCAGCAGAAGAAAATTTAATACATAACGTGCAGCAATGGAAATGCGGATGAGAAAACTGATATGCCAGCAATACAAGAACCAATTATTAGTTAATTAGTTTACGTGTTTGATTATATTATTGGGCTTCGTGTTGATATGTCTCTGATTATCGGTTTGTTAGCTGATTTGTCTCTGATTAATTATTGTTTGTCAGCTGACGTGTCTCTGACAACAGAGTTAGCAGCTATCATGTCTCTTGTGTCTCTGACAACAGAGTTAGCAGCTATCATGTCTCTGTTGTCTCTAACAACAGAGTTAGCAGCTGTCATGTCTCTGGTGTCTCTGACAACATAGATAGCAGCTGCCATGTCTCTGACAACAGAGATAGCAGCCATCATGCTAGTCACCAGCGTAGCCAGGACGGCAGGAGCATCTGTAGGAGGCGCCGCGTTGGGTGCACACGCCGCCGTGACGACAGGGCGTCGAGGCGCACAGGTCCTGCAGCACGTCGCACGACTCGCCCTGCCAGCCCTCCTGACAGCTGCACTCGTAGCTCCCCACCTGCACTCACAAACATTAATGGGTTATGTTGTCCATACCTGCAGTCACAAACATTAACGGGTTATATTGTCCATACCTGCAGTCACAAACATTAATGGGTTATGTTGTCCGTACCTGCAGTCACAAACATTTTGTCCATACCTGCAGTCACAAACATTAATGGGTTATGTTGTCCGCACCTGCAGTCACAAACATTAATGGGTTATATTGTCCATACCTGCAGTCACAAACATTAATGGGTTATATTGTACAAATAGTGATACACGTTCTGCACCCGGTAATGATATGCGCTCATTTGCTGGGAAAAAAATAGTGCATCGCTATTTGGATCAGGCATCTTCGTTTCTCTGAGTGTGCTATCCAAAGAAATGCATTAAGTATAACTTGCTACCTGAGCCGTAACCATCTCATCTATTGAAAACAAGTTGACAAAATGTACAACGCAATTATTGAACAAACAATTGAAACTTTAATAAAATCAAGAAAACATTTGTACGAGGAACAACTGAAATGTATTAAGGATTACTTTGCAAAACGCTACAGCATTAACAACGTAAATCCGGCGAAACAGCGCAACTAGCGTGGCAGAACTTCTAACAAACTCGGCCTGTTCTTTAACGTCTATAGTACTACCTATATTTCATTACACTATACTGTACAGTACTATACTATATTATATTATACTACAATATCCTATGATATATTATACTATAATATACTATAGAATTATATTATAATATACTACCATTACACTATACTATACAATATTATACTATTACTGACGGTGTCGGTGCAAGAGGCCGCGTGTACACACAGCCCCAGGCTGCACTCGTCGATGTTGACGTCACACCGCGGCCCCGTGAAGCCTGGGGTGCAGGTGCAGACTGGACCTGATGGGTTAAATTTAGGAGAGAGGATATAGATTGAAAATATACATTCGGAAGGTCCTAATCGACTGCAATGCCTAGTAATAACCTGCCTTCTGATCTGCCAATGCCAGCAATAAGCTTAGTTCATGGAAAAACTCGTGAAATACATGAAAAAAATAACAAGAAATTTTTGTATAGAAAGCATTGTCTATTTTTTTACCAAGCTTACATATATTAACAAGTGCTCGTATAGTATTGGATCGAATAACCTGAAACAAGACTTTCCTTTAATAACTCAACTTAGGTATATATTTGAACTAATCAGTCACCAGGATGGCATATATGAACCATCAATCCTAATTTCCACCCTGAGTTCTAAATTCCACTCTAAATTCCACCCTGAGTCCTAAATTCCACCCTGAGTAAATTCCACCCTGAGTAAATTCCACCACCTGCTGGGGAGAGGGTGCAGGTGGCGCCGTTGCGGCAAGTGTCCGCATCACACGCAGGCTCCACCATGCGCGCCGTGCTGGACACCTCAGCCATCTCGCACAGATCTCCTGCCGTACAAAGAAATATTGAGACATTTTGGTTCAGTCTCAATATTTTGCGGTATTTTTTACGCAATTATATCAGAATTTCTCTAAGGTCTGAGAACTTGAAATGCATTTATAATAAATCGCGTTCCTTCGCAAAACAATTTGCATTAATTATGAGGAATTTGTTTTTCTTTCGTTTTGATTTTGAATGTGCGAATAAATTTCCTTCGATTTTGACAACTACTTGGATGTTTTATGTGCATAAAATGAATTGCTAAGAACTCTAGGTATATTACCACCAAAAAGATAAGCAGCAAATTAAAGGTTCACTCAAATATTATTCAGGAGCTCCAGATGATCGGAGGGTTCTGCACGCAAATTTCGCCAACATACGTTCTCCAAGTAACAAAAAAAGCCCACGCACGATCAACGCCACTTATAATAAAAGAATAATCCAACAATATTGCGAAAAACTAACAACCTTTATCGTACTGCATTGGTACAATTACACCTTGACTCAGTACGATTGTAACTTTGAAAAATTATTCTGCATGGCAACAGTTATAAATGATAAGATTAGGATAAAATTAAAAGTAACGTTGTAGAATTATGCTGCCAGACGAGCGTTCCAACTGATACGATGTGGATAAAATATATAGCTATTGATAACGAACCCGAGAAGCCAGGGACGCAGAGGCAGGAGAAGGCGTCGGCGCCCTGCACACAGGAGCCCCCGTTGAGGCAGGGGCGCTCCCCACATCCAAAGACCGCCTAAATGCAGGCAGGGGCGCTCCCCACATCCAAAGACCGCCTAAATGCAGGCAGGGGCGCTCCCCACACCCGCTGGGCAGCACGCAGTCTGGGGGCGTGCCTGCGGGGGTGACCAAAATAGGAAGATCAGGGAGTTTTTCTGGCTGCTTTCCCGACGGACATGAAAAGCAAATTCATATTAAGGTAAGCATAAAAACTGGCATGCGTTTTTGGGAACGACAGTCACGTTTTAAAATTGCGAAGAAAGCACGCAACTAGCATGCATGCCTGCTAAACATGAGTAGAAAATAGGCGATAAACTAAGAGTAGCATACAGTTTCCCCATAACTGCATAGCCTATTCGAGATTAAAAGTATAATAATTTATCATGAAAAATCGCAAGACTGGCTTGGCTTCACTTGTACCTATATTAAATCAACTGAAACAACCCTTTCCATACCAAAAAAAAAAAGGTTCGAAATCCAACGCTGGATTTTTAATAAAAATCCAACGTCTTAATAATAATTCATTAATAATACTGATAATAATTTTAAATAATTAAAATTATTAATATGCAATAATTTTCCTACCAGAGTAAGGAGGTACGCAGCGACAGAAGAATTCGTTGAGGCCGTCAATACACTGGGAGTTGTGAGGGCACGCTGCTCTCACGCAGTCGTCGACGTCCAGCTCACAGTGGGCACCCTCGTACCCTCGTGGGCACGAGCACGAGGCCGTCGAGTTATCGACACCACCGACGCACGTGCCTCCGTTCTGGCACGGTGCAGTGGAGCACGCGTCTACGGACTGGCCAGGGATAACAGATATCAATATTATTGATCAGTGTTTGTTTGTTTCAAGATTTTCTAACAGCGTTATGATTATTTAGTATTTGAAGATCAGTGTTTGTTTGTTTCAAGACTTTCTAACACCGTTATGATTGTTTAGTATTTAAGATCAGTGTTTGTTTGTTTCAAGATTTTCTAACACCGTTATGATTGTTTAGTATTAAGAAAATGGAGTATTTGTATTTCTTTGAAGCGAAACATTGAGACCCTAACTCGGATAACATACATGAAACGAGTTTCGATAACGAAATTTGGCATGGAACTTACAACATTATGGAACTTACTGATGTATAGAAAATTGAAAGTACGTTCACTGCGACACAAGAAATGCATTTTTTAAAAATGCAAGCGTTGCCTTATAATTTAATTATAAATGGAATGCAACACACCAGACTGCAGTTGGGCCCCTGCAGGCCAAGCGGACAGACGCACTCGTAGCCGCCGTACAGGTCGTAGCAAGTGGCGCCGCTGCCACACGGCGCCTCCTCGCCACACTCGTCAATGTTCTCGCCACACGTAACGCCGCGATACCTGCGCCACACATACGTACATAAAAAAATATTCCGCATTTTAGGTTTAAGAAAACCCTGCTTGTCGTACATTTTATTGATCAAGCTCTATTTCTTGAGTTAGATATCCGAACCAAGGCAGGATAAACTTAAATTCTAGGGGAGTGGCAGTTGAGATACCGAGCCTTCCGTCATTCATGTTTCAACTTCTTTCTGATATCGAGATTCAAGACCAGGCTTATAAGGTTTGCCATGATTCCACATTCGTTAGACAGATTTTCATAGATTCCTATAAATGAATCTAAGCCTTTTTTTTTGGACTAGCAATACTGCTACCCCTCACCCCCAGCCACAGCTCCACTCACCAACCACCACACCACCCACACCACAGCCCCACTCACCAGCCACCATACCACCCACACCACAGCCCCAGTCACCAGCCACCACACCACCCACACTACAGCCCCCAGCCACAGCCTCACTCATCGCCCCACTCACCCAGTGCCCCGACAGTCACACGTGAAGCCGTTGATGCGGTCACTGCAGGCAGCGCCCCACATACCCTCCACTCACTCAGTGCCCCGACAGCCCCACTCACCCCCCACTCACCCAGTGCCCCGACAGCCCCACTCACCCAGTGCCCCGACAGTCACATGTGAAGCCGTTGATGCGGTCACTGCAGGCCCCGCCGTGCAGGCAAGGCAGGGAGGCGCAGTCGTCGCGCTGGTGCTCGCAGTAGCGGCCGTACGTGCCCACGGGACACGCGCACGACGACATGTCTCCCCACACAGACAGCTCGCACGTCCCGCCGTTCTGGGATATTTAATAATAAATAATTGTCTAGGATAGTTCATACGTTCCGCTGCTCTGTAGGCAAAATAGAAGATAAAATTAAAAAGATTGGTTGTTTACATATATATAATTTGCGACGATAGTTTACATGTTCTATTGTTCTGGAGACGAAATGAACGGTAAAAATACTTAAGATACCGAGAAGGAAATATTCTGATTAAACTGATATTAATGAAAAGAAAAATACCCAGACGAAGACTATTTGAGTTAACAGAACTATATTTGTCGACAGTAAAAAAAAATGGTAATCGTGCATTAATTCACGAGGATTCTCTCAACGCCACAAGAGTTTTAGCAACAGCGAGACTTAAAGTTTGAGACGTGAAATGCGGATAAAAAATTTTCACTCTTTGTTATGCAAGCGCTAAAAATTACCACAAACAAATACAGGATAAAGTTCTCATGACACACGTGCAGCACGCGGCACACTCACCAGGCACGGGTTCTCATGACACACGTGCAGCACGCGGCACACTCACCAGGCACGGGTTCTCATGACACACGTGCACCTGTCTCTTATACACATCTAGATGTGTATAAGAGACAGCCTCACACACGTGCAGCACGTGGCACACTCACCAGGCACGGGTTCTCCTCACACACGTGCAGCACGTGGCACACTCACCAGGCACGGGTTCTCCTCACACACGTGCAGCACGTGTAGCTCGCAGCGGCTGCCGGTGTAGTTAGCAGGACACGCGCACGTGGTCTCGTTGCCACGCCAGTCCTCCTGACACAGGCCGCCGTTACTGCACGCGAACTGCGGCAGACTGCACAGCGGACCTGTACGTAAGAAATGTTTAGGATTCGTATGCACAGCGGACCTGTACACAGGAAAATGTTTAGGATTCGTATGCACAACGGACCTGCATAAAATAAAATGTTAAGGGTTCGTGTGCACAGCGGACCTGGGAACTGAATATTAATTTCGATTTGTAAATTTGAAGGTCCAGTTGTTTGTTAGGAGTCAGCATTAGATTAAGGAGTTTACTGTTGTGCTATCACAAATTGTTCCGAGTTAGTAATCCAATAAGCCAGCACTTACCCTGATCTACGAGGCACGTGGGGCCAGCACTCACCCTGATCTACGAGGCACGTGGGGCCATCACTCACCCTGATCTACGAGGCACGTGGGGCCAGTGTAGCGCAGGTAGCAGTTGCAGCGCACGTCTTCGTTGGTGACCTCACAGACGCCGTGGCTGCCGCAGGGGGCGCTGAAGCAAGGGTCCGTGTCGTATCCACCTGGTCGTCAGGAATATTTAATTAATATCTTAACAATATCGATAGTTATAAAAATAAATAAATTAACTCATTTCGAGTCGAAGGATTCGGAAAAATGCTAAGTGAAACACAAACCCAAAACATTTACAGACTTTGAATTCACTCACCTATTTTGATTTTTCTCCCAAGTGAAAATAATAAAAAAGCTTGACATTTTCGCAGCAGAAAATGAACAATCGTGGGTTCATCTACCAAGTGAAATCAGCTCCATTTTCTAAGCGCTACAGCGTTTACTGCAAGTTATACATTTAAAGAGGGAAATTTAAAGAAAATACTGAAATGGAAGGTGAGTAGCGAAGCTCTTATTGGAAAAAAACGCTGCTTCACAAAGTTATTAAAAGAAATAAGTTTTGTTAAGAGGTAACTCAGCCGTAGTAATCATAAGGCGTCATGGTTTAAATGTCATAAATGAATTGCAAATTATAAAGACAATTCATTTAATTATACACTGCAATTGTTGATAAGGAATATATTAAGTTATTGAATCAATCAAAAGAAAACAATTTTCAGCTTAAACGAAGCTAGAACGACGCTAGCGCAGGAGTATTGAGACGGTTTGCTGGTAATATAATAACGCTTGAGGAAGCCAGAGCCGAAAAGTCGCCTACCGACTGCGGCGTAAGTGAGTTACTAGTTCTAGCAGTTTAGAAACTCTAAGCAATGTAATATATACTCACCGGTGTCAACTGAAACGTTTGCGAGAGAAACACGAACTTCGTAAGTGACGGTCGGAACAAAACTTTTATACATGCATTAGGTGAAATAATTAGCATTAAAGCACATGATGTACGTACAGTCGTAAATTTCAGTTTAAGTCCACTCAGTTGTAAAGATCTGTTAACAAAATGACAGGCCTCAGAAGGAACTCGTAGAGATCCACATTAATTTCGTATACTATACGAGCGCTCTTTATGAAAGGCTTCGTTTATGTAATTGTATTTATGTTTCCCCATCAAAAAGTGATTACAAAATTATTGTGATTGAATACCCCTGGGAGGTCCTGCACAGTGTACCACCAGGGCCCTTCGCGCACCATTGATTCTACGCATTAGCAAGCATTACAATTTGTTGCATTTTATGGCACCTCTAATAATTGGCGCTTCGTGCGTCAATTCAACGGTAAGCTGATCGGACTGGGTAAGCGGCAACAGGTCCTACCGTTGCTACATTATCCCGTGATTTGCAGTAAACAAGTTCCTGAACTTACGAAATATATTTCGTGACTCTTAACGTGTTGGTATACCACTGCTTTACTAGACTTGACAATCGCATTGATCACTGCAGATATCACTCACTGCAGTGATCATTACAGTTAACACTCATTGCAGTGATCAGTACATTCATCACTGAGTACAATATTCAACTTCACAACCCTAAGTGTCGCTGGAAGCAACTGACTTGCATTTGTAATATTGGTACTCACTGCAATTCCTGCCCTGCGGCAGAGGGCAGACGCCCCACTGCACGCCCACGTGTCTGGTGAAGGGGCGTGACAGCGGCACACCAGCGCCCTCCAGCACACACCCACTGAAGGTTCCACCGCCCACCGTCAGGACGTGGTCACCAGGCTGGCGTTGGAGTTGCTGCTCGAACGCCTCGACCAACGCCCCTGCAGGACTCTCCACCACCGTCAGCGTGTCGTCAACACCCAGGCTGAGGACACCGAGCTCAAACCTGTCACACCAAACGAACGGGAGGTGAATAACGCTTCTGAACTGCCATAAAGTTTTTGAACTGGAATGTGAATTTAATGATATTTAGTAATTTGTTACCTATCCATCCTCAACACGACATGTAGACCTGAGGAAGACGAGGGCACTGACCTGAGGAAGACGTGATGCCAGGCGTTGTCAGCGACGTTGCGCGGCGCAGTGACGTCGTGCGTGACGTTCTCGCCCGTCAGCCTCAGACGAACCTGACCTTCGTCAGTCACTTGCAAGCTGAGCGCGAGGCCCTGCAACAGATCGTCACGTTTAAGGCACGTTTACCAATGCTGCTTCTGAGCAATGATTAACAAGCTGGCCACGTCAAGTGGCCACCATCGACTACAATGTCGCCACAATCTGGTGCATCAAATATCTTTTATTGAATATTTATCATGGAGGAGACCGAGACACTCACCAGCTGTCCCGTCTGGGCCAGGAGGGGACAGGGACACTCACCAGCTGTCCCGTCTGGGCCAGGAGGGGACCGGGACACTCACCAGCTGTCCTGTCTGGGCCAGGAGGGGACCGGGACACTCACCATACTCACCAGCTGTCCCGCCTGGGCCAGGAGGGGACAGGGACACTCACAAGCTGTCCCGTCTGGGCCAGGAGGGGACAGGGACACTCACCAGCTGTCCCGTCTGGGCCAGGAGAGGACCGGGACACTCACCAGTTGTCCCGTCTGGGCCAGGAGGGGCCCAGGAGAGCAGGTCTTGACGCTGAAGGAAGTGTAGCGTCGCAGGCTCAGTGGCACCGGCAGCTCGACCAGCGCCCCTGGCGTGAAGTGCCCCTCGCGTGCCGTACTGCCAACCGACACGCCCTGCGGTCAAGATCAGGGCGTCATGAACATTTTTATGGCAGAGGGATCATAGACGATTAATTTCCCCGGCTGAGGGATCCTAGAAGATTATTTGCTTCCTAAAGCGAAGTCGTATAACTGATGGAAGCCATGGAAGTATTTAGTATCAAAAGTTACTTCTGCGAAGATCTGGTCAATTTAGGCCAGTTCTCTGATCATCAGGAGACAAGTCAAGAACATTACAGGAATCGGCTGCGGGCCAAACTTTGCCTGTTCTCCAACGCCGATACCACTATAGTATATTTGAATATTGTTAATGATCATTGTTAGGAGACCACCAATCGAGAAATCAAATTGAAGCTAATCGATTAAAATAACGATTGTCACGTCTCCTACAGGATGAATATTTCTTACGGTCGCCCCTGCCGTCTTACCGTACAAAGACGGTAACATTACACATTATTTGCAAATTTTCTTCAGACAGCAAGTAATTAACTATTTGATAAATATTGAACTAGGAAGTACCTGTGGTATGAATTCTGCGTGTGCCGTAGGTATGGCGGCCGTGCTGAGGAAGGTTGCGTGGGGCGGGAAGGTGGTGAAGGCTTCAGGTTGTTGCGCCCCGCATCGTAGCACGGATAGCAGGAGGAGCACAGCCAGTGACGCTGTGCCTAGACAAACGAGTCAATATGTCAATATTAATGACGAGGAAGTCACAAGATGTAATAAGAGATAATAATAACAAAAGATGGATAAGTAGATTCTGCGACGTTGTACCTAGAAACGAGCGAGGGAATATCTCAGTATAAATAACGATGTGATGACACACACTATCTAACCTTCATATTTTTCTCGTACATAAAAATATCTCCTATCGACTGGCATGCCTAGTCAAGAAAATTTGCAATCATAACCAAAATGCAGCTATACCACTTCGTCTTTTTTGCGCTCGCGGGAGAATTCAATTCTATCTTCAGTTTACGAGGTTAATCTCTAGCTCTTAATTTTTCTTGAATTGTAACAATGTACGTCAGACATAAGTAACTACTCACGATATTTCAAATAACTGCATCATATGATCAAAAATTTTTTCCTTTTATCATCATAATACACGCAGTCAAGTCAAGTCAAGTCAAGTCCTGCGAAATTTCTAATGAAATAATCTTGCTATCTTCATATTTACAAGCTCGAAGGAAATTCTCTGGTGCTGAGCAGACTTAGGGAAAAAATATGGCAGTTAGTGGACGTCAGCTTTGATACGGCTACGTTAGTTTATCACTTTATCTAAACCATGCGGCCACCCTGCCAATTTATGTAAGAATTTTCACAACTAATAACGTGTTTCGAACCAGTTACTCGATGCGCCGATCGTTATAATCCTAATTACTCGGCCACCTCGAACTATCATAAGGAAACGAAAATATAATTACAGATAACATAGAGGGAGTGTCAGTGCCATTTTCCAAGCCGTGCTGCACTAAATCTATTAAAACTGACCAGCGAGTTATATTAAAATGTAGATCTTCCTATAGAACATATACTGTGCATTTATGCAGCTCCAAGTTTTAATAGATTTGAACAAGTCTCGGTTGCAGCGCATGCCTGTCACAACAATATAGCGCATGCTTGTCACAACAATACAAGTGTCACCAGCAACAATGTGTGGTTTGGCTGCGTGGGCACAGACTCGTGTGGCACTCAGGTGTCGGGTTGCGGACCGGCGTGGCAGGTCCGGTGCGCAGTTCTTGAATGCTTTGCTCAGATCAAGTTGCGAGCAGCACGAGTCCCATTGCATGGCTATCGCTTCATTCTGACCCGTTCAATCAGTAGTTCTAGTGGATTGGAACTTCAATTGTGCAATGTACAACAATGCTTATCTGCACTACTACTACCTTATCTTATCTGCACTTCAACTACTACTGCAAAACGACAACCATCAAAGTGACATGCGCCAATAAACTATATCTCCAATGCACATCGTAACAAAGCACATGCACTGGCAAGCGAAACAGCTAGCGAGTGCGGGTCGAAGTGTTACATGTGAAGACCACACAATCCATTGAGCATTCATTTACATTAAAACTCGACTTCCATAACTCACATTCTCTATTCCTTCGAGAAATGAGCAGGAATAGCCACTATGATTAATTATAACGTTATTTCCCTTGAGCACGAGCACAACGACACCCGAAGAGGTCGAGCATCGCTGATGTGCGGCCACGAAGGTGTGGTCGGTCAGGCAGGCGTTGTTGGGAACAAGAAGCGAGGCAAGACTGCAGACATGACCGTCAACTTGCGGACTGATCTAACCCACGAAACTTGAAAACAAGGGCGGGAACTTGTCTCCAAGTTTTAGTACCGACACCCCACTTAATTAATACTTCAACTTGTGAATTGATCCAACTCATTATACTTGTACTCACGAGGGGGAACTGATTTAAGTTCTGCTACTGATCCTCCAATTATTTAGCTTCCAACGTCAAGGCAAAAATTGGCCGAAAAATGCTGATAGAATCAAGATTGAAGAATATTCAGTGATTGATGGTAATGACACTTGCATGCATTAGTAAATCGACATATAGCAAACCTTTTCCCCCTGACTGTAAAAAATTTAGTCTTTTTGTACATTTTTGAACCCAGGCTAGTATAATAATAATATAATAATAGCGGTTTCAGCGTTTATTAGGCCATAGACCTGTCGCCGATTCTTGCAATCATAGCAATAGACCTGCAATCGCCGATTCACAGCTTGATGTGGCCTCGAACACGCAACTCACTGTCCAATTCTGCTGTACTTAAACGCCCGGCCTCCTTGCCGATTCTAGCTGACCAGAAAGCAGGGTTGGCAATGATTAAATCAAAATGATTAAATCATGTGATTAAATCACTTGATTTTTTTATAAAAAAAATCATGATTTTTTTTATTTTTTCGATTTTTTTATTTTTTTGATTTTTTCATATATTTAAAAATATTGAGTGGCAGTCTTTAATTTATATTGTGGTATTGTTATTCATGGTTTAGTATAAATGTACTATGAATGACATATTGGTATATAAACTTGTTGCCTCTAGTGTGTATTAGGTTCCAATAAATTGAATGTTTTTGGTACAGAGGCATCAAGTGTGCAATACATTGTACGTAGCTAGCAGCTTAGCTAATTCTTATCAGGCTATAATTAAGTAGTCTAACTATTTGACTATTTGTTATATATTGATTACAATATACAATTTAAATGTGTTAGCTAGCTTATACAGGGTGGGGCAGAACTGATTGAACAGTTTTGAGGCAAAATAAAAGAGTAATGGAGGTACATAAAGAAGAAAGTTTATTTTCCTTAAGATTAGCATAACATACCATTTAAAATACTTATGTTTTGAAAACAATATCAGGAAGATGGTGTCTGTTAGCTGCATCACAGTTGGAGTCGTTCTTGGAAGTTTCCTACAGCACGTTCACACATATGGCGAGGTATGGCCATAACCTCTGCAATAATCCGTCCCTTTAGCTGTGGTAGGTTGTGAGGGCAACTTCTGAACACCCTTTCTTTCAGATGTCCCCAAAGAAAGAAATCACAAATGCTCAAATCAGGTGACCTCGCAGGCAACTGTAAATCACCCCTCAGAGACACCAGACGTCCGGGAAACATGAGTTTCAAAACATTGAGTGACATTTGGGCTGTGTGGGCTGTAGCCCCATCCTGCTGGAACCACGTACAGGTCTCTCAATGCATCATTTTCAACAATGTTTTCCATCATGAACTGCAAGAAATTTTGTAACATTGCAGCATAGCGATCGGAATTCACTGTCATGGTTACTCCCTCCTCTGAGAACGACTCCAACAGTGTGTTGCAGCTAACAGCCCCCATCTTCCAGATATTGTTTTCAAAACATAAGTATTCTAAATGGTGTGTTATGCTAACCTCTAGGAAAATAAACTTTCTTCTTTATGCACCTCCATTACTCTTTTATTTTACCTCAAAACTGCTCAATCGGTTCTGCTCCACCCTGTATATTGAGAGGTTGAGATTGTATTGACCTTTTAGGCAATTAGAAAGATTTTCCACCCTAATGCGAGTATTCTAATTAAAATAATAATTTCAATCTTTAAATATGTGAATTTAAAACTAGAAACAAAACAATTACAATTATAAGACTATATATAAAATAATTAAATGCAGTGAATAGATATAAAATATTTGAATTGTGCACATGTTTATTTCAAACAGTGTTAGCTTTTCTCATAACTTAAGTCTCGTTTCAAGTCGTATGAGGTTTGTTTGGTTATCGTTCAGTTTATGTTTAGTATTGGTTTATTGGTCTAAATTAAATGGGAACAGTGCAGTCAGTCACTCATTCACTACTAGTCGGTGACTCGGTGCATGTGTATAGAAGGTAGAGTCTGGTAGATTTATAAGACATAAAACTAGTAGATCTATTGATAGTGCTGTGCACTGTGCTATCGCTACCTATCTGTTACGTGACTCTTCAATGTTTAGGAGATCTGCATTCCTGAAGTGTTTTTGTATATTGAAGCAAGTTAATTAAATGGTCAATATTTAGCTCATTACCTTGCTAGGCCTGCTCCATACAAACTTTACAAAGCTAATGAATAGACTTGTCAATAATTGTTTACCCAAAAATCCCTAAGTGGGAAACACCACCTTGGCCTGTTGGTCATTATTGAAGGCAATAAGTGCCCTTTCTAGCCATCCATTATGATCCATATAGTGTTATTGTTAGTAGGCTAATTGCAACATAAAAAATAACACCTCAAAAAGACAAAAAAGCTGAAAAAATAAAAAAAAATCAAATAAATAAAAAAAATCATGAAAAAATAAAAAAAATCATTGATTTTTGATTTTTTTAAAAAAATCAAAAAAATCGCCAACCCTGCCAGAAAGTGGCGCACAGAGCTGGGATCGAACCCGCACCTCTCTGCGCCAATCCTTGTACTCTGAACTCTAACCACTGGGCCACCCTGCCCCTAGTATAAATTTTGATTTAAAATCTAATTTATTCTAAACTGTTATGTGTCTTACTGATACAGTGTAAGGTCTACAATAACAAACATGCTAAATTAGAAACGTAATCTATTCTTAATCTCAACGCATGAGAGCTGTTGTCGGCAATTTTCCACACATGGAATAAATTTCGCAAGTTAGGCCTAAGCACAAACGTTAGCAATAAAAAAATAAGAACACCTCGCTGCCCGCACACACTCAAAAGCCTTGAAACAATGGCGGTACTACAGAGCCCAGAGCACGGCCTTGCACTTTCGTGATTGGGACACAGCGTTGCTTACACCCATTTCTCTGAGTGAAGGCTACGCCTGAATTGAATTTCGTCGTTTCGGGGTGTCATTTTGCAATGCATTTTTTAGCGACGCGAAGCCCCATTCTCTTTCTTATAGTATACAAGAAAATAATTGACAGATAACCTGCCGAATGTCGAACATCCCGTTACAGTCTGAACACACAGGGATGTGTTTACCATAGTAACATAACAAGCTAAGTTTATTAACTCCCACGAGATTCTCTTTCTGACGGTGAACAATGGCGCCTTAGTCGTTAAAACTGATTTATTTATGGATTTTTGTGTGATACTTGAATTGTGGTAGAAAGTAACGCGAGTTTCATAGAACGACGATATCACGCGCTCACGGCGACGATG